TATAAGTCCCGTCTTGTCCTCGATAAACCATTTATAATCTGATTAATAGCCAGCCACATGTGTACTTGCAAACATGTTTGTTTTTACAACCTTATCTGCGGAAAATCCGACGTCGCCGTAGCTTCCCCCACCTTTCAATATGTATATCCTCGGAAATGTGGGCAATATGGGAATTAATTAAATTCGAGGCACACGAAAAGAATGTTACAAATTGCACAAATATTTTTGTGCTGGCGCTGGCTAAGACCTCGCCAATAATGGCCTGACTTTGAAGTTTGATTATATACCCGGTGTGAGGGTCATCAAATGTCTTCCCACCGCCAGAACGGAGCGAGGCAAAAAACCAACAAACAAACGGCGAGTGTAGATTAAACACGTTGAACGCTGCGTTTGTGCAATATTTGCTAGACCTTTTGGTAAAAGGCCGTTGCCGTTGTCTTTATTGTTGTCGTTGTCATCATCGTTGTCGTTGCGTTGTCGCTTTAGTTGCCTCAGAGCCGAGAGTTTAACAAACAAGCGACGAGCATAGAATATGTCGCTTCGGTTAGTGTAATTATGGGCGTTTTATTGGACGGACTCAGTCGGTTCGAAGTAGTGCCAGCCAAGCTTCTGCATTGCTCAAATATTTGGCTCGCTTGCAACGTCGTTGCTTAAAGTTTGTTTGACCGGCGTAAATAAACAAGATGCCCAGCCATGGGTGGCGGCAATAAAAATCACGACACAAACAACGGAGGCAAAAGCAACACGCAGCTATAAGTCAAACACAGCAAGAAATTATAATTAAATCGGTGCAATGTGCTACCTTTTAATACTGATATGAAGATTTTGTAAATCTGTAGGAATTTAAAACAGCGTAATAGAAAATTATACAGAGCAGATCCCGATAATGTAGAACATTTGTTTTAGTTGTTATTTTAATTTGATTTGATTCGGTTTAACTGAAGAACTGTTTCTTTATCAGAATCAAATCCAAAATCATATTTAAGTTAAAATAAGAACACTTTTAAAGCTTCTGCTGTAATTCCTATCGAATTGGTTTGCCCAGAACGTGTTTTGTATTTTGATAAAAGGTATTTTAATATAAAACTTCTTTAATTCAAGTTCTTTGCTCAGTGCAGACGCAACATAAGCATAAGGCAAACAGCATGTGACATAGACAAGTTGGCAGCGGGAGCTGCAATTGCATCCGCCCCGAACTTGGCTGGCTGGTAACTTGATTATGCCATAAACCAATACGTTCGGGCGACGCATTTTTTCCTTCGTTACGCTTTGTATCCAATGGATCGAGGGGGTATTGGTAAAACTGCGTCGTCTGGCACTCGTTGCCATTAAGAGTCATCAGCATTCAAGGCGGTCAACTACGATTTCGGAGTGCCAATTGCTTGCTTCGGTGAGTTTTACGTGCCCGGCCAAACGAGTTGAGGAGCCAAAACAGCAAAAAAGCCAAAAACACTAAAAAACCGTCAACGGAAAGCCGAAAACCGAAGCCTCAACTTCAATTGCAGCTGGGAACTGGCTAAACCAAAAAAAAAAAAAAAAAAAAAACTAGTGGCAATTGCAACGGTTTACTTGCTGGCACTCCTGAACCCTGAACATGAAAATGTTGACAGGTTTTTCTTCTTTGGCGACCTCATTTTACAACAACAGCACTGAAATCCAATCCAGAAATAAAAATAAAAGTTGTGGCCCCTGTCAGTTTGATCGCAGAGTTATGCAAAACTCAGCTTGGCTTCGTCTTCCTCGTCTTAAGACAACTCCTCTTTGGTCAATAACCATAAACTTGAGGTGGGTTTCATTATGATGAAATCTTTTTAATTAATGTGCAATTATTGAATGCCGTAAGAGAGATCTATTTAAGATTGTTCCCAGCCAGTTTGGCTTCATAAATAATCAGCTTGATTAAAAAATCTGTTCTTTTGAAACTCAATGTTTTATTAACCATTTTTGCCAAGGAAAACTTTAAGCCTTTGTCGATTTAATTTATTAGTTAGGCCAAACCCATGCTGGTGCCACAATTTTCATTAGCTTGCGTTGTTGCAACATCTTCGGCTTGTTTGCTTTTTTTTTTTTGGGCACTAATGCGGGCCTAATAAACATAAACTTTGATATGTTTATGCCAGAAGTGCGTGCTGCCGGGGATGCTGGTTTTGTTTGTGTTTGTATGCGGTCGGCAGTGTTTGCATTTGTGCTTGAGTCGGAAATATTTGCATTTCAAAGTGAGTCTATGGCGAAGCTAAAGGCCCCCAGACTAATTCGAGCCGATTGAACATCGATTTTATAGCCCCATTTTTTTTTCGTTACGACCATCCGCAACAAAGGGTTCGCATCTGGCCTTCATTGGAAGTTGGCCTAAAGCGGCGGAAATGTGTAGCCATCAATGCAATGTGGATAGCTTTGCAATAGCGCTTAAAGGTGATCGGAAAAAAACAACGACGGTTTCCAAAGTCATGCTCTCAATTCCAGAAATCAATGGGGGTGTTAGAGATGGAAAATACCTTACAACATCCTATAATTACACTGAAGAAAACCATGAAAAACATCAATTCTATTTGTTACATGTTTTAAGATTTAAATTCCTTTTGGTGTAAGAAATAATTGTTAAAATATTTTGCGTTTTATTTACTTGTTAATGACATATTTCTTACGTTCTGATTGATGTATCCCACTATTTACCATTCTTCAAAATAATACAATTTTTTTCACTTGCTATTAAATGATTAAATTTCAAATTCTAACTCGAATTATAAATATTTTTTCAGAGTTACTCCGAGACAATGTCGTCTCATCGCTCAGCTATTTGCCAGTGCAATTTGCCAGAAACAACAACAATTATGCTTGCCACGATGATGATAATGATGAAATTGCAGGCTGAAAATCGCGCACGCGTTTTGCATGCGACTTGGCGGGCGTTTAGCTAATCGCGCAATCTTTGGACTCACGTAGCCAGGCGGCACATGACCAATTTCTGTTGGCAACACGAAGAGCAGGAGATAGACTCAGATAGACAGAGTGAGTGAGAGGGAGAATGAGGGAAATACAAGCCCACCAAAGCGAACTGCGCATGCGTGCGGTTTGAAACGCGCGTAAGTCGCGCGCGCTTTTGCAGGTGGCGGAGAAAGTTACCAGCATTGAAACCACTTTTTTCGGTCCGTCGGTGCCCGACTATTGTTGTTGGTGCTACCCAAACTACATTGGTTTACATACAAGAAAAAAAGAAAGAAAAGAAACGGGCGGGTAAAAAATGCCAGTCCATAAAGCCACAGAAGAAGCGCGCCCAGCGTTAAATGAAAATAAATTTGTTTAAAAAAAAACTAAACCGAAGTTGGGCAAAGGCAAAGGCGCGCAGCGGTGAGAGCAAAAGTTATGAAATCGCCGCCAATGGAATCCGAAATCGAATTTGTATCAATGGAGGTACAGTGCAGGGAGAAATAATAGCAATGAGATTGGTTTGTCTTACTAACACAGTTTCGATTAAGTTTATAACATTCTAAACACTTTGAAATTAGGTAAGAAAAAAGATTAAACATTTTAAATTGCAAATAATAATAAAAAACCATTTCCTACTGTTTTACTGAAGAGGCTAAATTCAGAGTGGTATATACTCATATGAAACTCATTCATAAATGATTCATTTAAATATATAGCCATTGACAAGACTGCGATGCTATTATTTCGATCTCCGTTGTCTTTTGGCAGAGCTCGATGTTGGTGGAGCGACTACTTTGACTTGGCACAATATCGAATATGAATATACAAGAAACGAACTCTTTCGCAACTCTTGGCGCCCGGGGCAACTGGATTGGCTTGTAATTGAATAATATTTCTACTCGGCTGGCCACATAACGAGCGGCGGGCGCAGTTGCAACAGCAACAACAACAACAACAAAAAAGTAGGAAGCGGCAATGCACTTGACAAAGCTGCTTCACTTGTTGTTGCATCGGTTTTATGGTTTATGTGTTTTTTCTTCGTTTTTTTTGTAGCCACTGCATCGGCGGGGACTGTGTGGCATTTTTCACTTTTGCTTTTAATAGCCAGATGCTGTCTGTCGACTGAGACGGAGATGAAGATGAAGTCGTCATCCGACAGCGTTTTTTTTGGAATTTGTTTTGGATTTTTGAAATTGCCGCTCTTCACATAACCGTAATACGCCTTCAGCCGGTTTTTATATAGGCGCCTGTGTATCTCTGCGTTTCTGTCGCTGCCAGATGTCGCCCATTTCGATTTTGGTAAATTGGTAAACTGGGAAACAGGCCAAGGAAATCAACTGCCAGCGAGAAAGTAGTAGTACTTTCTTTCCACCAAAAAGGCGACGTCTCGTCAGGAAATGGAAAAAACTTTGACAGCGCAACAGGATGTTTCAGAAAACTCCTGCTGGCTGGGCTCAAGTGGTTTTTTTTTAGGGGAAGGTCCACAGCAAAAACTGTCATCTGGATGTTAATCATTTAAATTGGTCATGGATTCAAAATGTTTGTTTTTTTCCTCAAGGCTCTTGGGCAGATACATATTTATTTTTAGTTAAACGGGAAAAAAATTAATTATGTAAAAATCTGTAAAGTTAGTTTAAGAGTTAGTTTGCATATATTTAAGTACTTTTCAAAAGCGACATGAAATTCATAAATATTTTGAGGTATGCATTCCTTCCCTATCAGTTCGAAAGTGATCTCATTTTCCCTCCTTACCCTAAACTTCTTTGCGTTGGTGTTGTTGTTGGGGTCTGGAAGTGAAAGTTGTCCGACAAACATATGTTTCCACTGCAGACGAAGAACTTTAATTAGACGCCGGACGTGTTGCCGTCGAGTGATAAGATTGGGGAGACCCACAGTTGCATAACTGGCGACTAACCAAATAGCGGGGAAACGAATGCCAATGCAACGGTTATTCAATATCGAATACGATCGGCACCAAGGGGAAGTGCCAATTGGAAGAAGAGGATGCTTGGAATTTGGGGGCGATAAGGAAAAGTAACCAATACAAGTCGAAAATAGAACCCAGAACTAACCTTGCTTTTCGGCGAGGGATCGGCTGTTTGGTGATGTTTGGTGACAAATCGACGACACGCGCCTTTATCCACAAAAGAAATTTAAATGGGGTGGATCTATAATTGAGGTTTCCAGTTGGAGAGGTCGTGCGTTTATGACCTAGTACTCGCTGCTAGTTCTTCTCGATTTGTCAACTTTTTGCGAACAAATCCACATAGTTTCTTGCACGACGCGTTGTTTAGCTTACATTTATATAACCACTAATTGCGGCACTTTCGTTTTGCGAAAACCGATTTCTACTTTATTTGGCCAACAAATTTGGTAAATGCGAACACACGGGAAACTCTCGGTTTTTCTGTTGTTTTTGTTTTTGCTGCAGGGCGCACACTCGATTTCTTGTTGTTGGCTTATTGGCCGTGTCGTTGTGTTGCGGAATCCGGACTAATATCGGTGTTCTCGCGGATCGGAACAACTGGCTAGTTGGCTGCGCGGTGGCTCTCTGCCAGATGAAATCCTGCCGTCCGGAATTATAAACTGTTCCACTGCGAATCGGCCAAACGAATTGCAGTTTCTTCCGCGTACACAACTTTACGCTGAGCAGCTGTTCGACAATGTGGCTGCAGTGCGAGAGGTATAGCAGGCAAATTGGACAAAAATATACTAAAATTGCCAGCAAGCAATTGCGTAGACTCAAACCAACTTTAATTTCAAAGATTATCGACAACACTATTTAACTGGAAAAACATTTGATCAAATTGAATTTTAAATGTTCAAAAGTTAAACAAATTTAAGTAAATGGAATTTATAGGCTTGTATTACTCATTTTGAATTATAAAATCAGAATGAAAAATTTTTCTTAAAAGGTTTAAGCTGCAAGAAGCAACTTGTTAAAAATGTATAACAATTGTCTGTGGTAAAAGGATTTGTATTATTTAAATTTTATAAATTTAATTTTGTTAAATTTTAAATACCGAAATATGTTTTAACGGTAAGATTTTTGGAAAATACCGAATACCAAAAATAGCAAGAAGAAACGGTTACACTGCTGTGCTGTCAATTTGACAGCTGCGTCGGCGATTGTGATTTGCAATTTTTGTAGTTTGGGAATACACTCGATATCAAATTTTGAATTTACTCAGGATAAGGAGCAAATTATAGCGATTTTGCGATGTCTAACCCTCAAGCCACAGTCACTGCCTACTTGGCGGCCCAAAAGAAGACCACAAACAAAGATCTCGCTGCAGAGTGGACGCTCATCGAAGAGCTCTATAATGAGAAGTGAGAGCCCAGGCTCATCAAAATCATTTTCCCAAATAATCTAATTATTTTTCAGACTATGGAACGAGCTGACCATCAAGTTGGTGACCTTCGTGCGTCACGAGTCCCTGCAGGACGAGACTGCACTTCTGCAGCTCTACCAGAACTTCCTGTCCACCTTCGAGACCAAGTGAGTCGGATTCTTCAGTTGACTTGGCAATATCTTAATTTATTTATTTACAGAATAAACCCCTATGGACTGATTCAAATCCTTGAGGTCGTGGTTGATAACATTGGGGACAAAAAGGAGGCCATCGACTTTCTCGAGAAGATGAAGGACAAGGTGAAGATCTGCGACGAGGCTGTTTGGTATCTGCAGGTCATGCAAGGCAATCTCTACCTCAGCAATCTGAATGATCTGAATGCTACCAAAAAGATTATCGAAGAGCTGCGCGATGTGCTTGAGGAAGCGGGCAATGTTACACCAGTCCATGGAAAGTATTACATGCTGGCGTCCCAATATTATCGCCGCGTTGGAAAGCACAGCGATTACTACCGATGTGGCCTCCAGTTCCTGGGTTGCTCATTGGACGACTACCCGCGCGATCAGTGGGCACAGCAGGCCTTCTTCTTAGGCCTGGCTGCCCTCCTGGGCGATGGAGTTTACAATATCGGCGAACTACTGGCTCATCCCATCCTGGAGTCGCTGAAGGGTACGGAAAACGAGTGGCTAATGGAACTGCTCAAAGCTTTCAACACCGGTGACATCAACAAGTTCGTAAAGCCACTAAATCTATAAACTAGCTTTTAACATTCACTCCTCTTCAACAGATTCAATGAGATGAAGAAAATCTGGTCTAAGATACCTGATCTGGCTGCCCAGGAGGTCAAGCTGCGTCAGAAGATCTCCCTGCTCTGCCTCATGGAGATGACATTCAAGCGCTCTGCGATCGAGCGGGCCATCTCTTTCACCGACATTGCGCAGGAGACCAAACTGCCCGCCAAGGAAGTAGAGCTGCTCATCATGAAGGCCCTGGCTTTGGATCTTGTGCGAGGCGAGATTGACCAGGTGGCCGGAGTTGTTAACATGTCGTGGGTGCAGCCACGCGTTCTGAATCGCAGCCAGATTGTTGGCATGGCCAGCACTTTGGACACATGGATGGGCGCCATCACGAACATGGAGAAACTGATGGAGAATCGTGCCGCCGAGATTCTCACCAATTAGTCTTAATTTTTGCTTGATCTTTATGGTCCCCACTAATTTCCATTTGCGCAAGTGCTTTTGTATTTAATTAAATTACCGAAACAAAAAATTTTCTTAATATGTTTTCGTTTTAATGCAACTCCCTGACATTATTTTTCGTGTAAAAAGTTGTTTGTGCTTACGGACTGGCTTAATCCTAGCTTATTGTATAAATCAGATCACTTATCGAGGAGTTGTTGCTTATGTTAAGGCCTAGGATTATTTACAATTTAAAGAATACGTCGAATTTTGGCGATAGACTCTGGTTATCTCACAAGCTACAATGTCAATCAGTAATTTGGAATTTGCTGTAGCTATAATCGCGGCTGGTGCATCACTAGCTGCAACCACATATTTTTGGCCACCAGCACGTACCCGCAATCAAATGTTCAGGCAGCGCAGCTTGGTATCTGGCACACGGGAGGTAAACTCGAAGGATGGCGGGCGGCGAATGTCCTCGTGCGAGTCGCGCCGTATCCTATCCGGATTGCGGCCCATCACAGACGACAGAGGTATTTGGCGGCGGTACAGCTCCTCTAGAACCAGGCGTTCCAGCTCGAACAGATGGTCGTCCCTAACGCCGGGGATCTCTTCGTGCATGAATAGCGCCAGGCGCAAAAGGTACTCGGCATTGTGGCCGCTGGGTCCTCGGCATTCGACAATCTGCTGGGCAATCTCTTCCGCCGGATCGTCACCCAGCCAGTGTATGTTCTCCGGCGTAGCCACATAGACTAATACCTCGACTGCTTCCCCGCTGAAGGGCGTGTCCTGAGATGCGACGCGCGGGAAGAATTTTGTATCAATTGTTGCATAGCCACCTGTTGGGGGTTAATCAAAGATTAGCTCTAATCTTGGGTTCATTGTTAAATTGATTTACTTACCCAGTGTGCACTCGCGCTGCTTGAGATAATCCAGTGCCGTGCTCCCTGTTATTCTATAAGCGCAGCCCCAAGTGATTCCCTGCAATCAAAAATAAAAAATATACATCGAATAAATAAAAAATAAAAACAGATGTTAAGCATAAATCTAAAAATATTTTTTAACTTTCGCCCTGTGTGGGATTTGAACCCCCTGCTTATTTTGGTCGAGGTATGTGCTATTCTTATCTCACTCGGTTGCTCGCTTATGATTCCCAACTTGTTTTTCCACAGCTGGCACGTATAAATAAGGCTATTCGCGACGTTTTACTTGCCGCTTTGAGTCTTTCATGCTTGTCTCTCGGGGTCACAAACGAGTTCCTGGTAACTCCATTGATAATGCCCTGGGCGAAAGTCCCCGGGCCTAGGATAGAAAGTATCAAGGTGTAAAAAGTGCATTCCGTAATGCATTCACCTATATTCCGCGGAATTTCGCCTGGTGTGTGATCAAGAGGGTTTTCCGAATCCTTTGCACCAGGTTGTCTGCGGAAATCTGCCAGAGTTTAACCTTAGATATGGACGAGTTGGTAGGACTTTCCGGGAGTTTATTCTCTCGGAGGGAAACCGCCAACACAGAATGGGGCTTACGTTGAGAAATTCGAACGGCGCATATACACTTTTTTACTGTCCCCCACTTGTGATTTTTATTTTATATACTAGATATTACTCACCTCTTTGTCCTCAACGAGCGTTGCAACACGTCCAGGCTGCAACAAAGAATAAAAGAAAGTACACGTTAGCACTTGAGTGAATTAAATACATTTTCATTTGTGGAGCTTATGTGTGAATCGCCTCCACAAAGACTGAGGGCTAGGTACCGCCTGCACACAGCTCTCTGTTTGTTTACTTTCTGTATATTCGCCTTATTTACGACATTTACACATTTAACTGGGGACTTATACGGTATATGGGACCTTGACTTATTTCGAAGGTGTTGACTTCTGTCATGATCGCATTGCTAGCAGCAAGAACCTAACTCAATCAAAATTTAATTACCCAATAGAATTCCTCAATGTTGTCCAAAAACGGGTGACATTTTCCTAAACTGGTTTACAAATGTTTCCAATAACATCGAAATCATATCTAACCCAAAGGGGCTTGTCCTGACTTTTTAGCAAGCAAATCACTTATGTTAATTAAAACACAACCTGTATCTTAATTGGCAGTCGCTCTAGACGCTGGCGAATGCTAATTTCACTTGTTGTTTGCCATTAGCCACACACAAACACAGCTGATAACGTCGAGCGAATAGATAACGCGTGCCTGATCACTTTGCTTACACTTAAAAACTGCCAACTGCCAGACGAAAGCATTAAAAACAAACAGCGGAGGCAATAAAATAATTACCAAACCGCCTCCATAGTTGGTAGATAAATACACGCGAAAGGTGCTAACAGACGGTGGCTAGACTTATCCAGATCTCGGTAATCCCACTCACCTTTTCCTCGCAGCCGCGATGTGTGACGTTTCCCTGCCAGAATCGTCGGACATAACCCCTTATGTAGCCCGTAATGCACTTTGTGTAGGTAAAACCCGGATGCCAGCACAGTGATCCGTAGCCGAAGACCCAGCAGGCGACTTCCGAGGAAGGATCCCCGTTGTTGTTACTAGGACGATTCTCCTGCTCCTGCTGCTCATTGTTATTGTTCTCCTCCGCTGCTCCCAGCTGACCATTGGTGAAGAGATTTTTAAAGTGGGCCGGCACCTCAGCCGGCTGGCGATGACCACTGAAGTGAGCCATGTCTTGTAACCAGAATTTGTTGCTTTAATTTCCTGGGAATCCTTCTTTTTTTTTTTTTTTTTTTTGGTCTGGCTACTGCTTCTGGTTAAGATCGGGTTTAAGGATCCGGGGACTGCTATCTGGACATGCTGGTGGCTGCAGGCTGCGACTCCTTGTGTTACATTGCTCGACGGCCGGCGACTTTAAATGCAGCTGGGCTTCTGTGGATGGCTAAAACACAGTCTTGTTACATAAAACTCGAAATTTTGTCTACCAACTACTAAAGCTAGTTAGCCCTACTAATCATTTTTTTTTAATCCAACTGAAACCTGATCCCCGGCTTACTTTGTGGTGGTTCCGATGTTGAGTGATGTGATGGGCTAATATTTGCATATATTCTCTTTGTACTAGGTTGAGTTCGCGCTGACTGCGACCAAATAGTTCCGCGAGCGTTCGGGAACTAAACCGCCCAGCGCGAAAACCGAAAACATTTTCAACGCCCCGTCGTTCGCGAAGAAGAAGACAAACACAGAGCGGCGAAAAGTAAAAAATAAAAATGTAAAATAAATATTTATGACGCTGTGTCTGACGACTCTTAAGACTTATCTATAGGTTTGAATATGGCGAACGAGTATTTAAATTGCCGCTCGCCAAAGCTCTCTCGTTTTCTCACTCTCCATTTTTCTCAGTTTAGTTTCACTATCAACCGAGAATTATGGCAAAATCTTGGAAGTCTCGTATTAAGGTAAAGGTGACTTGCCATCCGAACACGTCCATAAATAATACAACAATTAAATAAAGTCAAATATTTATATACCTTATAAACGCTAAATAATAACCGATCATATAATGACCAAGCTGGAAAAAAGCTGCGTGCTGAATAAAAACCCCTTGAGCTGAAGGACCTGCCATAAATTCGAGTATTTAATAATTAAAAATATATAAATACCTCAAATTAAGAAATGATTTTGGAAATTGCCAATCATGAACCATAAAGATCTTTGTCAGATTAATATTTATTATATAAGTACCCAGACAGAGAAAGAGGTCGAAAACAAATCACTTCAACTGATATTTATTATAATCATGCTGTTTATTATTGATTTTCATGGATTTTCCCGATTCCAAATGATAAATCATGACTGCCTAGCAACTACCCAGTTATGTAGAAACTAATTGTAACTATTACAGTGATTAGATCAAAATCAACCTACAACTTTTTTTTGATAAGATTGTGACTTGATTTATATAGGTCTGTATTGATGGAAAATTAAGAACAAATCTTTTCCATGATGACATTAATGTTATAACTAAAGTCTATTGTGTGAGTTTAAAGTCCAAGTTTAAATGGTTCTAAAGATATTATTGCAAAGAATATTTATCTGTATATACAACGCATTTTTATGTATTTGCACCGAGCGGTCGGCTCTTTTAAACATATTGCGGGGAATGCTAAGGATAAGTTTATCAAATGAATTATTTAATATATTGGGTTACCTGTTTTATAACTTATTTGCTTTAATATTTTCCTAGATATCTAATCAATCACAATTTTGCTCTTTGAAAGTATATTTTTACTATCTAAAGAGTGTTAAGAATTCGCTTTGGAAAAAATGCCTATAGGTTTTACTTTCGCAAGTTCAAAGAGGAGTGGGGAAGGACAGGGTGGCATAATATTAAATATGTGTGCCCGATTTTTTCGACACGCTAACATAATTTTAAATGGCCGACGGTACGTATACTTGTTTTTTTTTATGCGCGTGCAAAAAAATAAAAGTAAATGAGCTTGTGTGCTAAACATGTTTAATAATAAGACTTAAGGTTTTATTAAACTTGTGTTTGAGACAAATATAAGCACACTTTTGAGCACTTTATCAAAATATTATTATTGGCAAGTGGTTTTTCGGTTTTATTTTTATGTGTATGCCTGTGAGCCACACCGTCGTATCGTGATGTGATCCATTAACGAGGCATGCTCGATATATATGCGTCGAAATGTACGTACTTTTATGTGCACATTTGTTTGTATTTTTAGTTGTTTAATTTCGTGTGTAGCACTTATACATTCATAGTTCTTATACGAACAAACCCTGCAAGCCTTTTCTATCGCGGAAGACACTTCTGAGTGACTTCTGGAAGATAAAACTATCTTCCGCGACTATCGCTTTCGGATCGCGGAAGTGACGTCCGTCGGGAAGAACTGTGACACTTCTGCGTCACCCCCCAGAAGAGACTTCCGCGACACTTCCAGAAGTGACTTCTGCGTCACCCCCCCAGAAGAGACTTCTGCGACACTTCCAGAAGTGTCTTCCGCGACAGTTCTAGAAGTGACTTCCGCGACACTTCTAGAAGTGACTTCCGCGACACTTCCAGAAGTTACCCAGAAGAATATTCCCAATTGGAAAAAAATAATAGAAAATATTTTTACTATATTTATTAAAAATTTAATTTTTTTTTAAATATAATAACTTATACATATGTTAATATATTTTTTTTAATATAATTTTGTATATTTTCGACGCTTGTACACCCGATGAACTGTTGATGGAAGATTTTTTGATTTTTCAGCTCTGAATCATCCAGAAATTTAACAAATGTAAACTCTAAAAGAAAACAAACAAATAATATTATTAAAATGAAAAGCATATTTAGAAACTGATGTGCATTACCTTTATATAAAAAATAGTTGATCTTAACATGTGCTGCATTTTTTTCGGCATTGTACGCGTTGTTAGACGCAATAATATCATTAAACACTTAACAATTTTCAGACTAGAACTGGCAAGTCAGCAATCTAGAAACTAACTGACGCTTTGCAGCAAAATCAGTACGCGGGTCAAAGGAAAATACAAAAAAATGTTCAGTAAAACCAGAATATCGGTAAATTTTTGGGACCTTTGCTTTACTATCTTCCTATCAACTTCCAGAAGTGAATTGGAAGATAGTTTTTTTTTGTATATTTGTTGTTGTAAAATGTGTGCTATCGTCTTTCTATCTTCCAGAAGTGACTCAGAAGTGTCTTCTTCGGGATAGATGTGTATTTTGTTTTTGTAAAATGTGTTCTATCGTCTTTCTATCTTCCAGAAGTGACTTATAAGTGACTTCTAGGCGATAAAAAACTCTTCTTTTTTTTCCAAAAATTTCTATCGTGTTTCTATCTTCCAGAAGTGTCTAAGAAGTGACTTCTAGGCGATAGATGTGTATTTTGTTTTTGTAAAATGTGCTCTATCGTCTTTCTATCTTCCAGAAGTGACTAAGAAGTGTCTTCTAGACGATAGGGGATAAATTTATCTTCCAAAGGCTTGCAGGGAACCTAAACATTTCGCACACTTTGTTTTGATTGCCGCCTTTCCGAAATGCCAAGCAAATCCCAAAGAATTTGTAAGCTTTCTGTTTTCATACGCTGTTTCTAAATACCAGTCTTCGTTTTTGTTGGATTTGAAATTTGTCTTGTGTATTTTTAATCGGGTTCTCCTCTTTTTCGGGATTAGATGTTTTTGCATAAATGATTCGACCCAAAAACATGCTGGGTGGTGGAAATTTACCGAAAACAAGTTCAAAAACCTTAAACGCACATCCGCACGCACACTGAGTTAATCTCTTCTGTGTGTTTACGACACCTCCACATCCTCAAAGGCACACATACACTCACACACGTGTTTTCTTTTGCCTTGCGACTTGGTTACGTATACGCAGCGTTGGCCACTGCTCGTTTGCCAAATGAAAAACGCTTCGAAAGCGACTCGCTACACATTTCTGGGTCCTTGATACTGAACTTTTTCATTGTGAAAGTTTTTTGCCAACGGTTCAAGGTTAGCCAATTTTTCTTAAAATTGTTTATACGGCAATCTATAGTTTTTATCGGTTGATGGGGGAAGTCAGTGCATATATGTATGTAGGCAGGGAGGGATATATGGGCAAATCAACTTGTTTTTGTGCTTGGGTAACAGGCGCAGTACATACAAAAAGTTCTGTGCTCCGTTTTCTATGTTCATATACACAACAAAGCCTTAAGCCCATTGATATCACATGTACGGCATGCCACACGAGTGTTCGTTTTTTAGGGGGTATAAAAGTCTATCTTGGTGGGGGAATGAAATTCGTATATAAAGCACACGAACCCACAGTCAGAAATCTTAATTCCGCTGGGCTATATAGGCATCTGGATCAGGGCTTAGCTTTGGATGCGGAATTTACGTGCAGCTGTCTAAATTTCTGTTATGCTTATCTCATTTGCGATTCTCTCATTTAACTTTCATCGCTGAACGAATGATCTCAATTGAGATTGACACTGTGTTAAATGGTTCGGATTAGCTGAGCAAAATCTTTTATGGAATAGAGCAGCCATATACAAACCAATGTATATACTGTTATATAAGACTGTATGTCTAACGAATATGAAGCTCTATCACCTATAATTTATAATAGGTACATCTATTGGACTTTAGTACATTTTTCACGGTACTTAAACCCACCCTTCTTTTAAAAAAGACGCTAAGTCATCAAATGAAAGACACAAACTTCTAAAGTATTGAATTTATAAGTACATCATTCAATTATCTTTATAAGAAACATTCTAAAATGCTTCCCATTTGGCGACCTAACACAATTTAATTAAGAGTTAAGAAATATACAAGCACTTGAGAATAAAATAATAAACTAACCTACTTAGACTCACACTTCTAATTAAACAATTAAAAATATATTTTATTTTATTGAGCACAATTCTTGGCTTTTAAATCGACTTCTGTTGGCTTTCTTCTTTCCTCATTATCAAGATTATTCGACGAGGGAAGGTCCGAACGGCCTAGACTTAATAATATTGATAAACAACCCACCAGACCGACAATCCTCGAGTATGTAATTTACAGTCGCGCGTTGGTTGTTGCTATCGCCATACAATTTTGCCCAACTGATAACAGTTCTTGGAGGCGAAAGGCGTCTGATAAGGAGCAATATTTTTTTCAACCCCCTCGAAAGCCAAGATAAGATTTGCGACCGGCAGATAAAGAAGTTCGCCAGACAGACCGGTTGGAAAATAGCGCAAAAGGTAAACAACTTTTTGACGCTGCCCAATGGACACAAGCCAATAGTTCTACACATATATCAATTAACATATCTGGCCTAATTTTCCAATTTATAAAGCACATGTCTAGCTATGTGTGTATATAGCGTTCGAGCAACCCCCGAAATATTGTCTTTTGCGCATTTTAAGTCTTTCATTCTTTTTGCTTAGTTGGCATACACGTGTGGCTCTCTCATTTGCCGAATTTTCTGACGTTTAGCTTGCTTGTTTATTCAACACAAAATACTATAATTAAACCGGCAACTTATATTTAACTTTAATGATGTCTGCTGCCTGCACCTAAAGATTTATTAAGCAAAGAGAAGCCAACATTTTCAGGAAGTTTACTCCCAAATGGCAAAGTAAATGTTTAATTGGGAATACTCTCTGTTTGTATACAAATATTTGCATAATCCGGCAAACTTTTTTAAATTTGCCTCCTATTGTGTTTTTTTTTAATTTCAGGTCTCTATTTATAAACTCGTGAACTAAGTTAATTTGACTTTTAGAGGTCTGCAAAACACCTTGATGAGGTTATAAATTTAAATAGGTTAGCTGTCGCAACAAATTAAAGAAAACGACGACGAAGGCGGCAATAAAATTGAAATATTTTTGCAATGAGTTCCACTATCTTCGTTTGGGCGTAAACTTAAACTTGTGGAATGCACACGGCACGTGCCAAACTATGGGACACAAACAGACTAGTTGATAGGGCTTGTTAATATTTTCAAACTATTACAGCAGTAGTTGACACTATTATTGTCAGTTATTCGCTACGTAAGTCAGTTGACCTTGGGGATGACGATGATTCTGTAAGAAAGATGCTGGCCACGTAGTGAATAAGAGAAAATGCTCAAGTAATGCTGCAATTTATGTAGTCTATAGGAAACTACAGCCTTTTAAAAATCTGTAATCTCTTAAGCGGAACCTTTTCCAGGAAATACGTTTTAAAGCTTTCACTTCAATGCCATGAGTAAATTCAAAATGAGCAAGTGTTTCATCTGTCATAAAAAATTTCACTTATTTCAGTGGTTTTCAAATGCCTTTGCACTATTTTCAGTATCTGGCGAATTGCATCAACGGGTTGCATGCACAGTGACTAAGCAATAAATTAACTATTTTAAATACCTATGAGCACGCAGTGTTCAAGTAAACAAAAGCGAAAATACTTTAAAATCTGTTTTGAATTAAATCTTTTGAGGTATTAATAGAGAGGAAAAAGAGTAAAAGAGCAGGGAGAGCGAGAGTGTCTGTGGACAGTGATAAGGAAGAGGGGGAGCTTGCGCGGAAAAAAACAAAAACACTAACGCACACACTGATAAGCCAGAGTAATAACAGCACAACATGTTGTAAGTGAACAGCAAGGTAAATAAGAGTAAAAAGGTGAGTGTGTGTATGCACGTGTTGACACTGAAAGCTCTCAACTTGGCACACTGACACACATTTGAGATTTGTCTCTATCCTCTCCGATCTCTCCACATGCAACAATTTAGTGCTAATTTACCCACCTGTCCATTTAATTACACTTTTACAGGTAGAACGGTAGCAATTACGACCGTTTATTTCTCGCTTATCAATTTCCGTTCAACTTTTGCACTACACTTCGACTTTTGTTTACTCGATTTGCTTTTCCGCTTTTATCAGTATTTTCTATTTCGTTGCGCCATGCTTCTCCTCAATAAGAACAAAAATAACATTTCGCAGTCTTCGCGCGCCTTGTAATAAAAACAATAACAACTCCACAGCACGCACTCGCTTTCACACTATTTCTCTTTCTCTTTTCCGCTGACAGATGGAGCGAGCGACCGTCTCCACCGACTGCTCAAATGTAAATGCGAGAATTGCGCCGTTTTTCGCTCTCAAATAATGCTTTGTTCCCCTCTCAGTCCCCTTCCCATCCCTCTTATGGGTCTCGTCTTCAGCGAAATTCGCTGAGCGAACGGAAAAGGTAAAATATAATGGATTTCATCAAAAAACCTGTACCGTCATAAATACCTATGTAATTAAAGAGAATTATGCTGAAATTCGTCGTTCATTTTTTGGAATATAAGAACAAAGGACATTTATATGCACACACTCACTGCACTGACAAAAGTCTTGGTCCTATCATAATTTTTTTTATGTGGAGCCAAACGTGATTATTTCGCAAACACTTTTTTATATATAAATGTTAGTTTTACAAAAAATTCAAAAACCTTGCTTTTCTGCATGTAGAAAAAGTGGTTTTAATAAAAAACGTGTCGAAAGTTAATGTTATTTCTTTTTTAATTTAACACGAAATAAATTCGAATAAATATATTTCTTTCTATGTAATGCTGATAATGAAACTCCAAGGACTTTGATGCTGTTTTAGTCTCATTTTTTCATTCTCTCTGTTGCGGAGAAAGGTGTCTTTGCGCAGAGAGTGCAAAATTCTCTCCAACTCTCTTTCTCTCACTTTGAAACATTCATTGGCTGACGTAATTCAAACGCACTGTTGCCGCATGCAACTCGATTTTATGAATGGAAAGCGAAAATGCAAAAGCAAGAACCTTAGTTGCCACCTGGCAACAGATAAAACAAACAACAGGTGTAATTTCTGAACTTAAATCGAGTAAAGCAGACAATTGACAGACACTGCCGCATCTTAATTGCCCTAATTGGAAAGTGAGGTACCGCGTGTTTTTGATTCGCAAGGTGCTGACTGATGACAAAACACGGCCCCCAACCTTCAGTTTAGATATTACCTCGGTAAAAATAAACAAACAACCCACTGATAACCGTCTGCACTAAAATTCGACGAAGTTGCGTCAGATTAATGATGCTCGGAGTAAGCAGCATTTTAAAACTTTAGCATAAAACTGAAATTACATCTGCTCGATTGTTTTATTTATACAGCTTTGATTAATAAAAGATTTTATCAGGAAAACTAGGCATATATTTTAAATAAGTTTAATAACTCCACATTTTGTGGTTTTCGCTAGCGGTTGTTAAATGTCATAGCGCTGCCAGATATTTTGAAAACGATAGTCGCGGTGATAGATGGGTCCCAAAAGTAGGCACCTAAAATATATTGATGTACGCCATCTATTGGAGTTTTTTTTAGTACGCCACCTGCTGTAGAATTTTCAAAACTTTAAATAACATTTAAATAAATTATGTTTTTCAGACTTAAGAAATGAAACTGATCCAATCTTTTTCATCTGTGCTAATTTTCGGGAGAGCTTAAGAAAAACAAATTTTGTTATCAGTTCTACGAGCTATGAAGGGTTTTCCAAAAACAAGCACGCAAGTCAATTTAAGCTCTGTTCTTTTTATATTGGTTTTAAGACCTTTTATTTTTAGTTATAGGATAATTCTAGCATAATTCTTGATTTTCTTTACAATCTTCAAAAACATTATACAATTCCAAGAGGTTTTAATAATCATAAATAGATATTCTCTCCTTATCTCAATTACTTTAAATGGTTCTTTGCCTCGCAAACCTCTGTCTCTTTGCTCATACTAATCTCTAATCTTATTGCTTGACCACCTGGCAATTCAGCAGCAATTCAGCGATTCCCGGTGCAAACAAAAAGCAGACAAAAAGCACGACAGGCGATAATGATTAGATTTACAATTGGGATTATCGTGTGGCACAACAAATAGGCTTTGCCACCAAAATACCATCAAACCGAATCAAAACAAAACATCCATCAAAGTACGGCGAGAAAACAAAAGCGAGGAAATAAAATAAAATGGAAAGGTGAGGAGGAGGAAAAGTGGAAAAATTAAAATGGGAAATGCTCGAGAAACCGCGGGCCTAAGACAAAAGATTTACAATATCGCTGGGGAAGATTTAAAGGTGATTTCCAAAGATATATATTGTGCCTGAGCGGCGATAAATAAACACAACTTTTTGACTATTTTTATTTCGACCTCTCTTATTTTATTTTTTTTGCTCAAATAGGTTTTTTTTGTTTGGTTCGGGCTGTATCTCAATGGAAAATTGGGTGCCATCGGAGGTGGGGACACTTTCCACTAAAAGTGTCACATTAACGAATTGTTTCGGTTCCGCCGCAGTTAATTTATGCCCCAACACTAATCGCTCGGTAGCCAGGTAGAATTGAATTTATTTGATTTCCCTCTAAGCGAAATAAGCCTTTCACAAACACGCTTTTCATTGAGCGGAAAATCTGTGAAAATTCACCGAGAAGTAGAAAATGAGTGGGGGGCGTGGCCTGCTTTAGCGTCCTTCTGCCTTTAGAGAACCGCCAATGTCGTCGTCTAATGGCGGGGCGCGTTTAAAAATAGGAACCACTCGAACCACTCGAGAGCAGCCCCGTTGGCCACTCAAAACGCGGCGACATCTCCGAGAGCTCCGAGAGGATCGCGAGCACATCTGGGGACCCCGAGATCCGATCTTGGATATTGTCACCAAATGTGTTGCGTTTGCGGCGGAAGGCGGTACGAACTCTCAGCGGTTCGCAAGTCGCAAGTAATTCGGGGGAGCCACCAAAACGTACTCCCAAACGTACTTAACATTTTTGTGTTTTATGTTTGTGTTTTATAATCGAAACCATATAAATTTGGGAGTTATCGCAAGAACCAACAATAAGTGCAAGTTTGAAATAAATTTAAATAAAGCTAGGGTTAAAAAAAGAAACTACAACAACCCTGCTTTTCAACAAAAATTGTGTGATCCGGCATAAAATATTTTAACCCTTGATTCGGGATCAGAAATAGAAATGTTAAACTAAAAATCAAAACGAAAAATTTCGTTATTATAAAAGGACTTTGAAATACTTTAATAAACGATTTCTCCAACACTTAAACAATTAATTCAGAAAAATAAGATTTGTAATCGAACCAAAACTTAAATTAAAAGACAGACTCTTTAAACCGCAGTTTTGGTACTTAAATATAAAGAAATTAAAATATAAAACTTAAATATATTTTCAAAAAAAATATATTTACTACCCAAGTGAAGTGAACTGCCCCAAAATGACCAAATACAATAGTGGCGGCAGTGAAATGCCAGCGGCAAACGCCATCAAGCAGGAGTACAACAACGGATATGGCCAGCAATCGCATCCCGGATACGGAGGATACACCAATTATGGCCAACACAACCAGCAGCCATCGAATCTCAACCAGAACACCCACCAGACTCTGCAGAATTTCTTCAGCCGCTTCAATGCCGTCGGCGATGGAAGTTCGGTGAACAATGGCAGTGCTTCGATCCAAGTCTCCGGATCGATTGCAGGATCCTGCAACTATAGCCACGGAAACCATCCGGCGGAGATGGACAAGCAGCTCGGTATGAACATGACGCCCTCGCCCATCTACACCACCGACTACGACGACGAGAACAGCAGCCTCAGCTCCGAGGAGCACGTCCTGGCCCCACTCGTCTGCTCCTCCGCCCAATCCTCGCGTCCTTGCCTCACGTGGGCCTGCAAGGCGTGCAAGAAGAAGAGCGTCACCGTGGACCGACGGAAGGCGGCCACCATGCGGGAACGAAGGAGACTGAGAAAGGTGGGAATCCATGGGATAAATTACTTAAATATGTATTTCACTATACTAAAGATTTAGGAAACGTACAAGTTTAAACAATGGTTTAGATTAGACTTAGATTTCGATTTAGACAGCTCGTTTTTAAATCGCGCTGGACCAAAATCCTTAAAATAATTTTGATGCAGAAAATATTCATCATTGGGTAAACAGTAAACTTTATTTCAACGACTATGATTATGTAAGTTTATACTCGTAATGGTTACCAACAAGGATATTTTGCTGGGTTTGTTTTTACCCATTGAAGGGGTATACGAGTATACAATTTCGTTAAATTGTTGAAAATTTAATGCTCTATTTAATTTAAAATATAATATGTTTTATTAAATGAAGTCCTATTGCGATTGCTACCAGTTGCTCATACATATATTTTTTCAACATTATCAATGTTTCATTTTGCAAGCCAGTCATAGTGTTCACTTATATAAAAATATTGTATTTTTTACGTTTTATATTCCAAATAAACATGTTAAAAAAAATTCTACGTTTTGATACCGTATTTTCCTAGTGTTTTTTTGTTTTCTTATCTCTAAAAAAGATCTTGCATTTCTTGTGCACTTAATCCTTGAAATAGTCTTAAAATAGAATACTGTAGATCCCTTGCACTTAAGGACTGCAACTTTGTTGCAATGTCATTAGAACCGCCAGCACCCCACAAATTAACACATCGCCACTTGCCCGGGGGCTGAACTGAATGCCCCACCGGGGAGCAGCCGAGATCCGAGATCCAAGATCCGAGATCGGAATCCATTGACATAAAACGCAGAAAGGGAAACCACCCAACAAGCGCGGAACATAAAGATTTGCCAAGACCAAGAGTTAAACAGCGGCATTTATGAGTTCGACAATCGTAAAAGTTTAGGACGAACCACACATATATTTATAGCTCCGAATAGAGACATTAGAGAAGGGGGAAAATCGGGGAAAACAGTCTGTCATAAAGCGACAGACGACGGGCGAACGGTTTAATTGTTGAAAATTTTATGCTCTATTTAATTTAAAATATGTTTTATTAAAGAGCCACTTAAGGGGGAACACGACGGGCGTTGTGTTTTTATGATCCGCCTAATGGATTTCCATGATTTCGAACGATGGCCATTAATTGATTATTCTTTTCGCATTCTAGGTTAACGAGGCCTTCGAGATCCTCAAGCGACGCACATCATCCAATCCCAACCAGCGTCTGCCGAAGGTCGAGATCTTGCGCAACGCCATCGAATATATCGAGAGCCTGGAGGACTTGCTTCAGGTTTGTCCCAAGATCTACTTCTACTTCTTAAACCACCTATAGGTAATCCATATATTATTTTTGGGATTATAGGAATCGAATCCCACACGCGATGGCGACAACCTGGCGCCGAATCTTAGTGGCAAAAGCTGCCAGTCCGATTATCTGGTAAGTTTTCCGCTCAACCCCAATTAATATTAATCCCAGCATCGAGGGGAGATACGTTCCGCAATTATTTTCTCGTAAAATTCTCATGCATGAGCAACACTTTCGTACATTTTTCTTTGGCGACGTGCACATTCATCAAAATCTCAGGGTCCGAACATGAAAATAGAATATACGGATGGATCCCCGAAGCTCGGTATCCGATGTTGTATTTGCTGACCGGAATTTATGCCCTCGCTGACGGGCAACTTAATAAGCTCCGCCAACCAGGAGACTCTTCTCCGCCTCCTTCCCAGAATCTCCCGATCACCGGGAGTATGTTTATTACGAATTATGAATCGGGGAAGTTTGCCTCCATCTGGCAGTCGAAAACTTTATTTTTTTCCCTAAAACGTAAAAAGTAAGGCGGCTGAGGACAAATAGCCGGAGAATTTACGGCAGGGAAAGGGAAAGAGAAAGGGTCGTCGTCTGCATTTAGTGAAAGGCAATAAATAAATTTTCTTTTTATAAGACTATAAGAAATAAAAATGGAAATCGTGTTGTAAATTAATTACAACAAATTCGTTGGCCGTCTAGAGAGAAGGAGTAGTAGAGATCCCCATGTTTGGGGGATTGCAGCGATCGCTTTTCTGTTTCATAATAGTTTCCCGTGCGTCGGGGAGAAGGAAAAACCGACGTGGCAGTTGACAAATTGCACAGGAAAAACATGACAAGACCCCGGGCTGTTATTCCCCGAAAGGTGTTGCAAGACATTAGGGCTTTAGTTTTTTGAAGAGGGGAAAGGGGAGGGGGACCTCAGAAAGTGGGGCAAGCGGGGCAATTGACAGGCTAACAAATTGTCAACAATTATGCAAACATTTTTGCCATCGCAAAACGCCCCCCTTTTGCCTTTCGGGTTGAGTAATTTCCATGCAGTTTGTTTAAGTTCCTCACATTTTTAATGTACAAATTTGTTAATTTACCATAAAAGTTTGCATATTTGTATGTTTACTGAGCCCCCCATTGGCAGATATTAATGTGCGGCCATAGTTTGATTAAAAACTGGCATCCCGCCAAACGTGCAGACATTCAAATGCATTTCAGACCCTGGCAATCCATCCATCTCATCCATATCCATTCATTTGGAGACCGTGTATTTATAAACCTCGGCACTCTGCGATTTAAGTTGAAGATTTCCTTTTGAACTGTATTTCCAAGTAGTTGTCTGTATCTTAAACTCTTCGTATATTTTCTTATCGCCGCTAATAAACTGAAGTACATAGTGTTAAGTGGGGACGAAATCAAATGCCATGCCGTCTATCAGTCAAATTTCGACGTAATTGAACCCGCAATCACTCAAGTGGCAAGATTAAACCTTTTAGGTGCAAATGACTCACTGAAAGATGTTGGTAACGTGGGTGCAAATTTACCATTGATAAAACGGCCTACAAGTGAGTCAGTACTCGGTTGGGGTTCCTCCAATTAAGTTTATTACGTACACAACTCGAGGCACAATAAAAAAAATCACATTGCTTGTGAACATTTTTGTTATCTCAAACATGGTTGGTCAGCCAAAATGTTTCCCAGGAATTTAAAGTGCTCAATAATTATGTTTTAGGTGGTAAAAGTTTGCTTTCTTCGATAATTTGTTGTGGTTCTTGGAAGGATTTAGGTGTTATCATAAACACATTTGGCAATAACCCACAACATTTGGCTTAAATGAATAACACCACAAAACAATTTAAAATTGCTATAAACATCAATTTTCTAGCAAGCATTTGCAGTGTTATTTTTTGGCTATGAATAGCAATTTTTCAAAAATGGATTATGGGATTTCACGAGTGACCGCAGCCCTCATAAAAACACAGCAATATTTCCAAAGAGGGCTTAGTATATGAAAAGCATATTTCATGGCTGAAACTCGCACAGCTTGTGGTTAACAAATCGCATAATGCCGCATATCCGTTACATGCTCGAAAGATCGGTGGAGAACTTCTGAGAGGAACGCGCCAAAAAGCGGCTTAAAATCTTTACGCAACCCAACGAACGGAATGCCCAAGTGATAAGTGGCATTTCATTCAGATACAATGCATGATATATAACCGAGTCGCTCGGAAATATAAAATACACCGAAACTCCATATAGACGTACAAACAAGTGCACTGAAACCAAGTTTTCTGAAATAAGTTATGTATTTACCATAACAAAAATCTATCTCTTCAATAAAAATTCTTATTGAAAATTGCTCACATTTCTGCGCTTGATTTATTTCATTTATTCATTTTAAATGGTTCAAAAACTAATCCTAGTTTTGCCCTACTTTCGTGTAATTTCTCACTGTGTAGCTGTGTGTGAGTTGTCGCATATCGAGCGCAGGCTGTCACTAAACGCTTGGAAAATGATAAATCGCTTTATAAAAGTGCAGCGTGAGTTCGTCTGTTCTCGTTCTGTTTAGCGCAGTTCACCCGGGTTGAATTGTGTTTTGTATTCTGTATTTTGTGTTCTGCTCCTCGGTACTTTGTTGTCCGCTAAAAATATAAACAGACACTGCGGGGACGCTCTACTCTGCTTCTCTCCGATCCTTGCAGACGATCTGACGGCATTTTGGCCTCTGGCAAAAGTAATGGATGGGGGGGCACAAAGGAAACCCACCCAGAAGTGGCAATTATAATTTGCTTAGCATCGGTGTTAAGGCGGATTTGAATTCTAATGAAATCGCGAGCGCATCTCCGTCTTTGGATGCCTTGTCGTCTGCGAATGCGCGGCAGAAATATAGCGCCAAATTAATTTAATTGCTAATAAGTGTGCACCGCCAAACGGCGCAGACAATGCACCACTTTGGCCCGCGGTGGTTCAATGCATTTTAATTGGCCAAGCGGAATCTGCACTAGCATAAATTTTGGCTTAATCTCATCATTAGACTGCATTCTGTATGGCACTTGTTGGCCAAAATGACAGCTCCGGACAATTTTGACGTTGTCATTTTGCCCGGCGACGCTAAAGTTTTTCTAATTTATTGTTTTCCCACTTTTGCTTGAGGCCAACTAAAAGTTGATTTCTTTTATATTTCTCTCTTTTATGCAGAACTCATATGCCGGCGCTTATCTGGAAGATAAACTCAGTTTTTACAACAAGCACATGGAGAAATATGGCCAGTTTTCAGGTAAGAAATCAAATCAAAATTACTGATGAGCAATAAAGTATTGACTTTGCCTTAAATTTAACAGATTTTGAAGGCAATGCCAATGGTTCCAGTTTGGATTGCTTGAACCTGATTGTTCAGAGCATCAACAAGAGCACCATGAGCCCCATTCAAAATAAGGCCACGCCTCCACCTGCAGATTCCAACACTCCGCCCACATCTGGAGTTCCTGCATCCACATCTCTGCACGCGAATTTCAAACGGAAGTGCAGCACTTAGCATTTAAGAATCATTAGACAATGGTAGAAGCTTTTTATAAGAGGATACACGAGATACCCAGTGACCCGAATAGGCCTTAAATTATTTGTATAGCATTAGCACTTAATTAAACGGTAATCAAAACAACAAAAAGAGCAATTTACTTAATCCAACTCCAGTTTGCGGAAGGATCCGCTCATTCCATCCAGTTCTCCATTGGCCCAGGCACTCGCCAATCCCACTCGCAGTTTCTCGTTGGTACCGTACTGGGCATCCTTGGCTAGGTAGTCCTTGTTGTCCTGCAGCTTCTGGCGCCAGTAGTCCACTGCCTCCGCCTGGTAGCCATTGGTGCCTCCGTACTCGATGGTCATCGCTTCCCTCGGTAAATGCTGGTACAGTTCCTCCGACTTTTTGTGGACCACGAACTGTGAAGAAAATGGGAAAGGTTAACATAAAAGGTTTCTATAAGAATTTAAAGGCTTTGAAACATATTTAAAATTGTATATAGTGTTATTAATTGCCTTATTAATATCAATTTTAAACATATATGCTGACTCACCTTAAAAGGCAATTTGGAGGGTAAAAACTTCGTAACAAAGTTGAAGATACTGATTCCCTCTTTTCGCATATTGATCATGTGAATCTCCACGAATCTTAGGGGAATGCACTGATCCACCAGGGCGAACGATTTCTTGAGCAGGAAGGGATCGTACTGCAGCATCTGCTCCATGGTCACATCCCGGCAGTCCACAACCCACACCAGACCGGAAATCGAGGCATTATCACAGTCCAGGGCCAGAAGTTCCAGCATGATGAAGACCAGTTTGAAGGCTTCCCTGGGACTCGACTTTTTGGGATCGATGTTTCGGAACTGAGAGATGATTACTCTTGGTCCCTCGGAACTCACAGGTCGCGTGGGTATCACATGGATTCTACAAACAAATAAAAATAAATATATTATTATATATTTCAATAAAAATGTTGCATCCTTTTTAGGGTTTAATTTGATATTGGATCTGTGGTTATTAACTTTCACCTTGATTTTTTTAATGTTCTTTTTTCATGACGACACACTACACTTCATAGTCACTTTTGCTAACTTTATACAACCAGCACGAAATTACTTTTTAGCAACTGATATCCAAAGATAGTGAGTGAATAAATTATTTTTGCCATAGCCATTTTGCCATTGATAAAGTTGTATACAATAATTCGTTACGTTTGACACCACTGATTAGGAATTTGAAATTAAGTAACCAGGAAATGATTTCCAGAAAGTTTGGCACATTGGAACTCAAGAAAAATGCTCCATAAACAATGGAGTTATCCCTTTAGTGTCCGTTTTTTGCACTGGATGTTAAACCCACCCTCTTTGGAGCTGGGTGAGCAGGGCTTCGTCCACCTGTCTGGATCCCAGGACCTCCGGGAAAACACTGCGCAGGGAGTAGTAGTTGTCGAACCGCCTTTTCGATTCCTCCTGACTAAAACGACATCGCCGCAGGAATGCCAGGATGAGTTGCTCATCGGTGGGTGCCTTGAGATGCGGCGACTTCCTTATCCACTCCTGGATGGTGGCTATGATCTCCGCGCGCTGTGCTGGATCCTCATTGCACTCACTTTTGGCTAAAGCCGCCAGTTTGGGATCGAGGGTTCTCAGATTGGACGTCATTTCGCCGCTCTGTCGAATGCTAACTGAATGCCAAAACCACTGACACACCGCCGTCGGTAGATTTCGTGCTGGTGGCGCTATCTAATCGGGGCAACACCTTGTAAACCAGCTGGAACGGCAACCCGAAAACCCGTCGGCCCGCCGGCAGATATGTAGATACAGATACAGATACACGAGTGCATAGATAGGTGACAAGTGGGTGTTATCTTTAATTGATCGACTACAGCAAAGAGCTTGGAATGTTAATATGGGCAATGCGTTTTGAGGAAGGGAACTAGGTTTCCTGCTTCCGATTAGGATTCAGATTCAATCCCAGTTAAGGCGACGGAAGGATCCGCTGGCCCCGAATTCCGCCTCGTAGGTGGCAATCTCTCCGTGACGGAGCTCCTCGATGGTTCCGTAGTTGCAGTCCTGCTCGAAGTAGCCGCGATAGCTGTTCAGCAAGTCCTCCATGTAGGCCACGCACTCGGCAATGTGCCCGTTGGTGCCTCCGTACTCCTCCGGCAGCGAGTCCTTGCCAATGTGCTCGATCAGCTCCTCGCTGTTCTTCAGCACGCGAATCTAAAAGGGGAAGAACATTTGTTTAAATGTGTTACTCATATAATCGATAAAAAGATATTCTCAGTAAAAACAGTATAAATAAAAAATCACATTAGGTAAACCTAAAGAGCCTACAATATTTGATAAATATATTTATTAAGTTATTTGGAATAATAAGATGGTTATTTATATTACTTGGGTTTGTCTGTTTTTTATGAGTTCAGATATTGAAAATGATAATTTAAATATACAATATTTATCATAAATATTGATTTTTATTATTGTAATATATTGAATAAAAAATATAATATATTTCTTAAGCGTATTAAACTCTTTTTTGAACTATTTGTCTTATTGAAGGACTTCTTAGTGGTTTTCTTTCACATCCTTATACTCACAGGATAGTTAACCTGCATGCTGAGCACGTTGTACAGAAACATGACGGTACCCTGAATATCCTTGGGCATGTTGATGATGTACATCTCCTTGACCTTCAGCGGACTGCAATTATACAGCCAGTTCCACCACTTTCGAAACAAGATCCTGTCGAGTCGCCTCATCTTGTCCGAGTTGACACCCTCCAGGTCAATTATCTCACAGATTCCCGCCAGGGAGGCGTAGTCATTCTCCAGGGCAATCACCTCCATGGCCATCGAGGAGAAGTGGTAGATCTCGCGCAGCATGTAAAGATTGGGATCAAAGTGGCCAAAACGCGCTATGAACATGGCTGTTCGATTATCGCCCTTCGGCATATCCGGATACAGGCAAACTCTGAAAGGTAAATAAACTCCAATCAATCTTCATTCAAAGTAAAGCAATTGTTCTGCACTTGGAAAATAAACAAAGATATGGTTTCTTATCTTGAAATGCCCCTATCAACATTTAAAGTAATATTCTTTGCACCTAAACTTTTACAGAGCAAACAAGCAAAGATATTAGTACTTTTATTATGATTCAAAAAAAATGTTTACTTACCCCATTCGATTGATGTCCAGCAATCTCTGCGTTACACACCGGTTGTTCATGATCTCGGGAAACAAGTTATAGTGGGTGAAATACCGATCGATCCTGCGCTTCGTCTCCTCCAAACTATATCGGCATCGTCTCAAAAAGGCGATCAGGAAATCGACATCGGTTCGAGCCCTCAAATGCGGTTGCTGGCGAATCCAGACGCGCAGGATAATGATGTCCTGCTGGATCCTGTCCGGCGTCTCGTTCACCTCCTTTTCGGCCAACTTGGCCAATGTCGGCGAGAGCGGACGTCGCATTTTGGTAACGGTTATGCGGCTTTTGATGGCACTTTTTCCCCCGGTAATGATATATCTAACTCGACCATTTCCCTCTCAATCTGGTGGTGGGTGGCCCCTAATCTAATCTTATCGGGCGTTCGGATCGAATTGGGGAAATACTGCCGCTTCATGGTCGATATATATCCACACGCATTTCTAACTTGCACTTTTCTCTGGCCTGGGAATTGAATTGGGACTTTGGCGAAGAGAGGGACGAGTACTATACTATATTAGGGAATAATAGCGCACATCCGGCGCCTGTCTCCTAAGATCTCTTAAGTGCCCTCTTCGTTTACATTTGGGAATTTCATGCACATGCACTTGGAGAAAATGTACGACCAGATGCGGTTCTAAAATTGAGGAAATGTAAATAGAGCTATAAATATAAGTTTTTACCCTAAAAAAGGTTTTGAAAATGTTTTTAGCTTGGGCAAACCATAAGGTTATTTATAATTTTTAAAGTAAATTAAAATTAGTTCCATCGTACTAAGAATATAATTCCAATATTCCAAATAATAATAAGCCATAATCTTTTATTAATTTTTATTTACTTATTATAACTATTCTTTGGTAATATGAAACAATTTATGATTTATATAATTGCTAATATTACAAGTTAATCTTTTTAAAGTTGGTAATATTATTTTGAGTACCTTTCATTCCCCTTATTTTTCTTAGTGCACGAGTACTCTCACTTGAAACGCGATCTCCGTTAAATGCCCGAAATAAATCTAAGGCTAAACAGTATCCAGTTTGTCGGCTGTCCGCGCAGTGAGCACTCGCTTTGAGTGCCTGTCAGAGGGCATTATACGATATGTACGAATACACCGACATCGCGTTTAGGTGGCGATGGGCTGTTCGAGTTGACATGGAACACCTCCGATGGGCAAATTGCTGTGACACGGCGCTGTCAGCTGCTGACAAGCCGGAGATCTGGCGATCCGATCCCAGGAAGCGGATCATCTTGGCACTCCCACTCCGGCAATAACTCATAACACATTATGGCCATGGGACCACTGAATACTCAATACTGAATACTGAGTACTGAAAACTGAAGACTACAAACTGAAAACTGGAGGAGGCTGTGCTTTGATCTTTCTGATGACAGGGCAGCGCGTGTAAATTCCCTTCGCAGGCAGCTCATTGCTCATGACACAAACATATCGTTGCCATATTAATAATGAGCCTCATTAACAGCTCGCTGCACTGCACCATCGCACTCGACACATTGCCCCATGTTGCCACTTTCTTGGGGCAGCGAAAAAGGATGAGGCAGCGGGGTATGTAATTGACACACTCATCGCTGATAAGTGTATTTTGTTGTAAGCACTTCAGTTGGTTTGAGTAGGTTGCAAACCCTCGGAATGCACATGTTGCATATGCGGCGAAAGTGAGTGATGCCACAAGGAATCTTAACAAAAAAGGATATGGAATGTATGCCATTTAAATGGGTAACTGACAGAACGATCAACTAGTTATTTCCTGAATGTTTCAAGAAGTTGGTTCCACAACAAGGATTTTTTTAGTAAGTAAAAACCAAAACATGAGAGCTTTCTTTATTGCTTTATACTTATTTTAATTATTCTTTAAAATTGTATGTTCTTGTAAATCAATTTATTTGAATAAATTCTTTTTTTTTTATAAATATTTTTGTTGTTTATTTAATATTGTTCTTATGAACAATAAGCAAAGCATCGCGTATCTGTACTTTCAATTGCATATATTTTAAAGAAAATATAAATTATTAAATAAAATCTAGATTTTAACACATTGAAACAGAAAGTACATGATTTATTATATCTAATATAATATTTATTATATTTTATTTTAAAACAAAATGAAAGCGGATCGCCGCAGTTGAGGCTGCCACAACCACCAGTCATATGGGATTATAAACGTTTCATGTTTTAATTTATAGACTTACATAAAACGCCCCATTTTGTGCGCCAAGTGCAGGGGAAAGTCGGGTGTATGAGCGGGGAAATGGGAAAATGCATTTGCTTGGCGCTCAATTGAGAATCATATTTATAGAGCATATTGAACAAATATACCAGAAACCGAGAGCTAGCCGAAAAAAAGATAGTATTCGAGAGCGAGAGGCATTTTTCGGTTGGCCGTCGTTGCCGCTCGACTGGCAGTTGTCACTCAACTTGATCCGAGCTATGTTCCTATATAGTATACTATATACATATGAAGCGTAGACGTTTGTACTTTGCCGTTCCCCCCGTTTTACTGAGGAAAATGGAAATTAAACGGCAAATGAAATTTCATTGTAAACAGACGACGCGTTCCGGCAAATTGATCGGCTTAAACAAATTTCCGCTGTCTCCGTGTTTTTCTGGTGTTTCTGGTGCTCCTGGCATTACATCCTCGCATTATCCTGCTCATCCTGTTAAGCGGCAATTTATTGGCTTCCGTTGTTGTCACTTGAGCCTCAATTGGTCCTCTGGGCAGCGGCAGCTGAAGTGGACTGCCTGCCCCACTCCTCTAGCACTCCTATCTTAAGTTACTATATAGTTTGGGTTCAGGGAAGGGGGATCGGATTCACAGGGCTCACTTGTAGAGCACCGTGTGCCAGGATCGTGGAGGCAACCGGAGGTTTATTGCTCCTCGGCGACTATCATCGAGGGCCACATCCACCGGCAGGTTTTGGCTGCAAAAGATTTAATGGAACGGGAATTAGGTACTTGGAATCGAAAGTAAATAGTAAATAGAAGGCATTCACAGAAGTGAATTGCAACGTTGTCGGCAATTAAGTTGACGCACTTAAGCGGCACCGTCGCCGTTGCAACTCGAAATAGATGCGTTTGTAGCACTAGGAAAATCGCTGGGAAATGTAGGAAATCACTCTTCTTAAAGTGCCAAAATTGTTCTTAAAAGTGCAAACTCTGAAGATATTCATATATCTAAGACAAGAAAAGGACTCCTATAAAAGGGATTACCTAAAATGAGGTAGTTCACGAATACTTTTAAAGGTACCAAAACAATATAAAAACTATATTGTTATTTTTATTTACCAGAAGAAATTCATATCTATGTACATAATCTAATATAATTATTAAAAACGGAATATGTTTTTTCCAAAGTTGTAAATAATGATTAAATATTGCCTGAGCTAGAATTAACTTTTTCTTTTCTTTCTAAAAACGTATTTCAGCTCTGTAAAGCCTTTTAGTTGCCCCGTATTTATTTTTGTATATTTTATATGTATATATTATGAGTTATTATTTTTCTCCAAGTGTACTTACCCATTGTAGATGATCAGCGCCACACTGCCGTCCGGTCTCTGGAAGCCGACGACACTCAGCTGGGTGAAGGGACTGCCCTCATTCAAGATTCGCGTCTCGATTCGCACCGATTGCTCTGGCAGAAACTTGGAGAAGTGCCCTATGGCATAGAAGATCGGCTGTTTATATATCTCACTCCGACTGGTGGCGTTCACAATGATCGGAGCATCCACGAAGTTGTTCACGTAGTTGGGTCCACCCTGTTCGTCTAGCACGAGATTCCAATCCAGCCAGCCATTGAAATGGTGGCCAAAGTCCTGGGTATAAGCCCTCATGTAGCTCTCTCCCCGCTGCCAACTTCCCAGCTCTGGGCCATGGGTTTGCCAGGGCTTGTCTCCGATGCAGGACTCCGTGTTCAGCAGCATCTTCTTCGGCATATCCGAGTGGGCCTGGTCGATCAACTGCGGCCCAACCAGCTCATCCCAGTACCAATGGACAGCCAGGCCATCCAGAAAGGACACCGAATTGGTGCGGGAGGAGCGCATCTGGGGATTGTTAAATATAATTAATAATAATTTAATAATTAATAAAGTAAAATATATTATTTAAATAATTGAAACAAATAATGTTTCAAATTAATGAACCATTCCTGCCTTGAAAATAATTGCTTTTAAATTTTAACGAGTACTTTGTTGATCAATTTTGTAGAGAAATTTCATGTAAGCAAACTGGTCTTTGCTTATTTTATTTAAAGAATATAGGGATCATAAGTATATAAACTTATTTAAAAAAATTTAAAAATATGAATATATGTATTTGTAATTTAAATTTTACTTTTAATTAACTTCTTCTCATTTGAATGTTACTCTTTTGATTTAAAAGTTGTATCTTTTTTGAATTTTAGTCTTTCGATTCAAAGTAGTCTCATAAAATGTTATCCTGTATTTTACAGAATTTCTTTAAATTCACTAATATCTTCCGTATTCCACTCACCTTCCTGAACCACGATGGATAGGTGTACCGCTGGTCATCGTTGCCAAAGATGAGCACCTTGCTCTCCGTCGAGTTCCTGATCGTCGGTCCGAGATTGTCGTTCAGCCAAATAGCCTGACGCAAAAGAAGAAATGTCGTCATGCTTAATAGCCAGAATCGTGATCGATGGCGAGTGGCTAATGGCAAATGGCAAATGGCTGAAAGCGAATAGCTCATACCTGCTGCCAGGGCGTCCAGCCCATGCTCATGAAGTGCACAAAGAAGAAGCCGATGACGCCGTTTAGCGGCTCATTGCCGGTGGATATGGCCCAAATCGGCATATTTTTAGAACGCATCAGTTCGAGAAATCTGCAATAATTATACAAGTGCCTCATAAATTTGAAAGGGGGTGCACTTTTTGACATTTCCTCACTTGAGATGGTAGAGCGCCCAGGTTTGATAGTATTCCGATTTTAGTTGCCCGAATCCCGTCCAGCGATCGTTGCTCTTCATCCAAAGTGGTGCACTCCACGCAGCTCCCATGATCTTCAGTTCCTCTAGTTGTCCCACGATCTTCAGACGCTTCAGCTGCTCGATTTTCTGCAGATCCCGCGGATCGAGTTCCGTAAAGTTACTTAATCTCAGATCATTTCGAGGTAACTCATTGTAAGCCCAGGGTTCCATATCAAAATCAGAACCGCCAATTGACATTCGAACCGAATTGTAGGCAATTCCATCTGGGTGAAAATAGGATCTGTAAAAAAAATATTTAATAAATATATATTTTTCAATAAAGTATATTTAAATCCTACTTATAGACATGATCCTGCAGTTCTTGTGGCAATTGTTTAAGTAAATGTGAAACTGTTCCTGTAAAAGCACCTCCAAAAATGGAGACATTCTGGAATTTCTGCTCTCGTCTCACGGAAATCCGATATGTTTTAATACTGGCGTTGATAACTGAAATTTTATAAAATGTATTATTAAGAATATAAAAAAGTTTTAATATTTTTTTAGCTACATAAGCGTTGAGAAATGTTAGCCAACTGCAACCAGGCCCGTTCTTGATCCACCACAATTGTTTCGGCCTTAAAGTTCTCATCAGTAAACTGTTTGTCCTCCACTGTTATGGGATTTTTCGATGAGAGGTCTCCAGTTGTCTTCTTGAAACGTAAGCCATCCTGAAAAAAAGAGATATCTTGAAGTAATTTCTACCATATAAAAACAAAACAATTCTGTATATAGATTTTTGCTTGAAAAAATGTATAATATTTGTTTGTTATTAAAAGAAAGCTTCTAAAGATGACTTTGCTAAACAAAATAACATGACAATGCAAACTATTTACGTTTTAAATAATGGTTTTAAAGATGAATAGGAACTACCAAATTGTACTCTGATCTACATATAGTTAATTAAATCCTAATCATTCAAACCTTATCAGACTTCGACTAAAGTTAAAGTAAGTCTTATTGCTTTGACCGCGATTGGCGATAATCCTGCTGACTCACCTTGCTGGAGCTAATCACCACAATCTGGTTGTTATCAGTGAGCTCGGGTTGTTCCAGGTAATCGCAATAATTTTTGTTGCAAACGCAAACGCTTCCATGTTTCGTTTCGCGCAAATCGCAGGGCAGCTGATTTTCTGCAGCAACTGCAACAGGTAATTATTTCGGATATTTCAGCACAGGTATATGTTTATTAGTTGTATATTACTTACCTGAGCTGATTGTAATCGTTGCAAAAAGAAAGCAAAATAAAAGTATCTTCATTTTTGCAATGCCGCCGAGACAATGCGACTCAATCGAAGGCTTGTCCGCAACTGAGCTCAAATTTAAAAACGAGAGCGCTTGCTTTCGAATGATCAAGCCACCGAATTTCACTCAACTCGATGTTTATGTTTTTTTGAACGCCACTTGACCCGGGCTCAGCTGTTGATTTGATAAAGCGAACGGACCGGCAAAAAAATACATAGCTATAGTCGCCAGTCGAGGCGATCCCACTTGGAAATCGGATCACGCAATCAAAAGTAAAAGTTATGCAAACCCAGAGGCGGAGTCGAAAGAAAAAAGGGGAAATAACAAAAATCATAAAGCATATTAATATAATTATACGCTTTATTAATTTTGCAATAATAAAAAACTGTGGTTACTTCGCTTTTGAAAAATGTTTGCCATTTTTATGATACTTACACTTCGCACACCTTAAAACAGAAATGTAACATTCATGATAAAATGTACAAAAATATTTTTATAACATAAAATAAATTGGTACTGCAGGTATTATTTTATTTATTTGTAAAAATTAATTATAAGCTTCTGGGGAAGCCATTCCAAACCAGCTGAGATTTTTCAAGGAATATATTCGCTTAAGATAAATCAGAACTTCATCGGTACGCCATTCGGAATTATTATCCCGACAGCTGGGACAATCATTTTTACTTGGGAACTGAATCCTTGGAAATTGCGGATCCTCCGTGGAATCGCCGGCCAACTTTTCGTTTATAAAATTGTGAGCTCGCCATAACCAAAGTATTTGCTGATCATAATTGGTCACGTTCTTGAGTGATTGCATTTCCTCGAACTGACTTAACCTTTTGCCACACTCTTGACAGTCCATGAAGTATCTCACATATCCTTGAAAGATCTGCAGGACGGAGGGTACATTAAAGTGATTTCCCTCCACTGTGAGAAAATGGAAAAGTTTCCAAAAAGAGCAAGGAAAACCGCGGAGAGAAGATCGATTTGAAATACAACCAACATAATGCTTTCCATCCGAAGTGTAATTGCCAAAAGATTTCAAAAGCAAATCCTTAAAGTCGCCTGCCGTGATTTTTGTTTTAATTTTCATTGAATAATAAAGATTTGTCAGCTTTTCTTGTGCCTCTGAATTAAGTGGACTTATATAATTTAATATTTTTAAGAAATTTCGCAAAACAGTTAGCTTGTTTTCAGTGAAAACTGGTGTTTTAAGGAGCTCTACATTAAGAATATGATCAATAGCCCGTTGCAGATCAGCGCGATATATCCGAGTGGGATTGTGTTCGAGTTGCTCGAATATTTTGTAACGCAATGCGGCTTTAATGTTGATGGGAAAAGTATTTTGCAGTGGTGCCTGAGGCTTGCAATCCACAAACTTTAGGAACTGCACTACTGCCGCCACATAAGCCTTACTTGAATCCATTTCGGGAGAAAGGAATAAATGATTTCCAGCTCGATTTAAAGCTACCAATAAGTTTGGTACTGGAGATACGCCAAATTTCGTGTATATCGAATGATCATCGAAAGCACGAACCACAACCTGATTATATGGCAAAAGTCGGAGTAGAGTGTTTCTAGAAATTATGGAAATTGTTGGATTGTCTTCAGTGCAATACTGCTCGTTGTCAAGTGTTTCCTCATTCGAATAAGCCATTTCGAATCGGGGAAAGAAATCCGCCCGGCACATTTGAAAAATCAAAACAACATACTGAACGTAATGGTGATCCCTGAACATATCCGTCACATTTTCCTCCTTCTTGAGCATTTTAAAGTAACTCAGTTTCTGGAGGTACAAGGCTAATTCCGATTTAATTTCCGAGGCTTTGCGACTGGCGAAATCGGTGCCCAAATCATCTGACTTTCTAACGAATTTCGGAGGAAAGTAGCGTAAAGCGGGTGTATTACGTATGCCAAAATTGCGGCACATCTGATTATTCTCATCTAGGGAACAATCAAACACATAAACTTTTAAAATTCTTCGCCATTCGTGAAGTTTCCGGGAAAGACTTCTAAATGCAGGAATAAATTTTTGGGTGTTCATGCAGAATCCATTGTAGAATAACACCAGGTTCGCCTTCCTTGGCTCTTTAAGTTGAGCTTCTAAGGAGGCGTGATCCAGCTCTACTATATTGTCATTCGGATTGAAAAGTAACTCCATCTCAGCAAATCCAGAAGAGAAAAGCAGGAAGTACAGCAACACCGAAAAAGTTGAGGTAGTAATACTTAAATTCATTTTTTAACGATGTGTTCTTTTTAACTATCCAACTGTAACTAATAGAGAATAATAATAGATCTGGTTTTCTTTGATTTGAAAAGCGAATCAAGCGTGGTAATTGCAATTCCATAGATGCAAACAAATTATTAGAGTTGCTATAATTTTTTTAAAGAATTTGTATTTTTAATTATTTTTGTGCCTAAAAGTAGACCGGAATAATAATGAACAGTGGGCCAAATATTTATTTTGTGGGCTAAGTAAAATACCTACATTTTTTCTGAGAAAAATGTTTTAGTCAACCTCTAATATTGTTTTCTTTAGCCCATTGTTTTATAGTAACAAGCTTACCCAAATATTCAACAAGCTTATGTCACAATGTTTATTTTATAAAATTTGTTTAATTAAAAAAAAAAATGAATTTAACTGTATAGTAAGGTGTGAATGGATTTGGCTGGAACATTGACAATAAACTGACCCCGAACACTGTCCACCAAAGTGATGTCCAGATCAGCGCGACCGCTATTGAACAGAACAGCGGCGATTTTGTTGTCCGGTCGAAGGAAAGCCACAGAATCCAGATTGACATTACTCGGAACCGCATCTATACGAACAGATCCTTCGGGAACCAGTTTGGAAAAGTGACCAATGGTATAGAACATGGGTTGCTTATAGAACTCCTCAAATGCTACAAGAAATAGATTTGGCAATTATATATAAAAAACTATGATTTTGTAAGTATTTCCTACTTGTGGTATTGACAATAACTGGAGCATCCACAGTATTATCAACGTAGTTGGGACCGCCCTCTTCATCCAGTGCAATGTTCCAGTCGATCCAGCCGTGGAATCCTAGTCTTATGTTCAAAAGATAATCACGAGCGTACTTCTCGCCCCTTTCCCAACTTCCCAGGAGAGGAGCAGCTGCCTGCCAGGGTTTATCTCCGATACAGGACTCGGATACTATCAATATCTTGTCGGGGGCGTATTCCGTGGTCTGTTCGATAAAGCTATTGCCGAAAATCTCATCCCAATACCAATGCAGCGATAATCCATCCAGATAATCAACCGAACTGGGGCGTGTGCGGTTCATCTGAAAAAAAATACAAGCGATAAGGTTCTGAACTTTGAAGTTTAATTGGTGGTAATTTAATTATGACTATTTTTCGATTTTTATTCGCCGTGGGTAATTTATTAGGTAATACTCTTTTGTTTATCATTTCTTTGAAATCTGCTAGCAAAAAATATTGCAGTTTTTAGGATTATTAAACGATTTTAAGTGCATTTGTTTGTTTGCACTCATATACAATATTTAATGGAACTTAACTATTTTTACATACCATTTTAAACCAGTGAGGAAATGAGTAACGCTGGTCATCGTTGCCAAACAGGATGATGTCCTTGAACTCGGAGTTGCGGAGGGTGGGGCCCAGATAGTCGTTCAACCAAATGGCCTGGGTCTGCGGAGTCCATCCCATGCTCATGAACCTCACGAAGTACATGAAGAATATTCCATTCAGTGGCTCGTTGCCAGTGGAAATGGCCCAAATGGGAATCCCGTTGGCCTCCATCAGTTTGATCCATCGCAGGTGGTAATCCGCCCAGGTTTGGTAATAATCCCGCTTCAGGCGTCCAAATCCTGTCCACTTGTTGTTCGTCTTCATCCAGGGAGGGGCACTCCATGCTGCTCCTTTGACGAGGAGATTCTTATTTTCACATACCTCGATGAGACGTTTAATTTGTGCCACTTTATTCACATCCTTCTCATGCAGTTCATCCATGTCGGAGAGTAGGGTATTACCCTCCTCCTCGGCATAAGACCAGGCATTAAAATCGAAGTCAGAACCTCCGATGGGAATTCTCATGAGATTGAATCCCAGTCCATCCTCCGCGTAGAAAGATTTGTAGAGGTGATCAGCCAGTTCGGATTGCTTGAAGCTCTCCACCAAATAAGTCACAGCTCCAGTGTAACTGCCTCCAAAGCCAACCATTCTCTGATACGTTTTAGTTCTATTCAATTTCAGAGTAACAGAACGGGTGATGGAACTCTCCCGCGATTCCAAGGTAAAAGCACTGGCCACCACTTCATCAATCAAGTTCGAAAGAATCGATTCATTTTCAGACTCTGTAGTAGGTTCCACATAATCCTGCAGGGTAACCTTATCCTCGGATCCAAATTTACCACTTGTGGTAGAAAATCTAAGACCCTGTTTGGAACTGGATATCAGAAACCATTCGTCTTCGTCCGTCAGCACAGGATTCTCCAGATAATCACAGTAATCTGCCGTGCAAACGCATACTTTTCCGTACTTTTGATCCTTTACTTTGCAGGGGATCGATTCGGAATGGACACCTGCATGCCAATTTAAGTTATAATTTTGGATTATGATTTGGTTTTGCTGCCACTTACCAATTGCTGATATCAGCAACACGCCCAGCAAAAGAGAATCTCTGCTGGGAAACATTTTCCTAGTTGACCGTTCGCTCGAATCGCCGCCAGCCGACTGAAAACATAGATCGCAATGGAGTTTCCACCTGGAGGTTTCTAGCCATTTATTAGACCACTTGGGGCAAACCAGAAGAATTGGTAGTATACAGGAAGCTCAACCGATAAGGCCACTTGACGATTATGTTAACTGACTAACCGAAAGTGGGCGTAATCTTTATAGAGAATATTAGGCAGAGATTTTCATCAGTCGTGTCTACTACATCAACTTGGCTTTGACTTACGTTTTACATTGATTTCGGGGTCGCAGCTGTGATTCAACTCATTCTTTGGTTAATTCTCGTTCGGAAAACAACTCGTTCTAGAGTTTCTAAATTTTTAAAAATTTTTTTTACATTCTTTTCAAAACAAAAATAAGTGCAATATGTCGTGTAATAGATCAATTGGTAGGTTATTCTTAAAATTATGTTTTAAATTTAAAACAGAATTGTTTTGAATTTATTTAAAAATCTAATGAGTACACAAATATTTTGATAAGGACCCGGACCTGGAGCCTATAATCTGCCCAGTACCTTTGGCTACAAAAACTGCGACAAGCGAATGCAGCGAAGTCCTCAATTCTCCTTCGGAACTCGATCGAGGTCCTGCAATAATGCAAGGAGAGTCGAAGGACCCGGACCTGCTGCCTATAATCTGGGCAAGGTTACGCGATATGGAAGGCCATCGGTAGCGGATTACTCTATTTTCAGTCCCCATAGTCGTCGTTAATTGGTGAATTAAGATGTCTGAAATATACAAGTACTTGGCTTAAATATAAATTGTTTATTATTATTTGCTAACCGAATGGTTTGCATTTTTTTTATGGCTGCCGACTATCTTATCAATTAAATGGAAACATTCGACAGATTAGCTAAATCGGCAAAGTAAGCTTAAGTGGGCGTAGATTAGCGATTGGTAATGGCAAATTTAGAGAACAGGTGTGCCCTTTGCTTATCAAGAGTTTGCTGATTAATCATTACCATTGGAATTGCCATTTTTTTCTGGTAATTGGTAACCACAATTTGAACTATAAATAGGTCAATATCAACGAATGGCTGCCACCCTTGCCATTTAAAAAATCAATTTTCTGTATAAAGGAAATCCATCAAAAAATTTGTCGGGACTAAATTTAAACGGGGAAAAGAGCAATGAAACGGAAAATGTGACTTAAGGCTAAAAGTCCATAGCCTGCTTATCGGGGCAGCGGCAAACACTCGTTTCGCCGGCTCTTAAAGCCCGCAGCTCTTTAATCTCCGTATCCTTTTTATCCTATCCATTTCGAGGGGGTGCTAATAATAATGAATCCCGTGTCATGGCTGCAGCTTTAAAGCCATGTCTGTGTGTGTGTGTGTGTGCGGTAGAGTTTGGTGTTAACAAAAACTATCAGTGGTTCAATAGCAAAGTGCAGGAAAAGTGAGGGGAACTTATAGAATCTTAAATGCTCTTGCTAGTTTATAAGTGGAAAATTAAATGGAATTTCTTACTTTTAAAGGTTTAATATTTTTATTATAATAGAGGGTAGTTAAGGAAGTCTTGAACAGTCGTTTTAAAGATTTTTTAAAATATCTTTTAAGTATCATTATAATCTTGTAAATACTATCATACTTCTTTTAAAGGAAAATACAATCATATAGTATTTAAAACTAAGTTGGGATACCATATTAATATAACCCAAAATATTTATAGTTTATTTTTTTCGTATTACACATAAATTCTGCATAATAAATAACTTTATTCCCCTTTTTTCATAAAAACTTTTACCTCAAATAGAATTAAATTTGTTAAATAAACTCACAAAAATCGCATAATAAATACATAACATAATTCCTCTTTTTTTCTAGAAACCTTTACATCAAATAGAATTAAAATTGTTTAATAAAATAACGTACCCTCCTGGTGGAGGTCACCACCAGAGTCATGTCAAACAAAAACATAATAGAATGTTGGGGAGTGGGATCCATCTGGGTTGGCTGGTTGACTGGTTCTTCTGGCGGCGGCCTTCGGTCTTTTGGCCAAACGCTCGGGCGGCGAACTCGGCTCGGTTCGCCTGCTGTCAATAAAATAGAACGGCAACTTGTCGCCGCCTTTCAATATTGGCACATACGTCGTTGTGGCAGCACCACCACCTGTTGTCTCCGAGTAGATACATTTCGGGGCATTGTGTTTGTGGCGCGAATCCCGTGGCCATATGGCAGTCTAATTTGGCGGTATTTGTGTGTCGAACTCATTGAAATCTCACTTGCCATGTCGGAGAAATCCAATCGCGGTGGAGTCCTCTCCAAGTCGGAGTCGCAATCGCAAAGCCAGGCGGCTGTCCAGTTGAATGCCTCCGGCAGACGCAGCTCCAGTCCGTCCGGTGCGAATGGCTCCTCGAACCGCTGCCTAATTGCCGTGATTGTCTATTTGGCCCTGTTGCTAGATAACATGCTGCTGACCGTAATTGGTAATGGCCGAATCAAGTGCAGATAAGCCTGGCCATTAACGATAATTAACGCCTTTGCAGTGCCCATCCTGCCGGACTATTTGGCCAGTCTGGAATTGGATGCCGCAACGCCAGTGGTTCTTGGTCTGGAGGATACCACATCCCCATCTCCGAAGCTACCCGGCGGTGGCCATCCGCTGCAGTACATCTCCAAGCATCCCATTCCCGGCAAATCGATGGTGAATTTCACCCTCTTCCAGCTGGCCACAGAAGCAACCACCAGGAGTTTCAGCACCTCATCATCGACCGCCTTTTCGTCCACAAATCGCACCACAGTTGGCCACTCGAGCGGAACTAATGCAACAGGCAATGGCAAAGGGAATGGGAGTGGCAATGGAAGTGGGAGCAGGAACAGGATACTACCCACCACCCAGAGCAGCAGCAAGGAGCTGACCTTGAGGCAGGAGAACGGCTCCATCGGCCTGCTGCTGGCCATGAAGGCCCTCGTCCAATTAATTTTCAATCCGATTGTGGGAAACGCATCCAGCAAGTTCGGCTACCGCCTTCCCATCGTGGTGGGCACCTTCTTTCTGCTCCTCTCCTCGCTGGGTGAGTGATCTATTTTCGGGGGTCAAGTTGCCTCCTTTCGGCTTTCGGCTTCGTCGACAGCACTTTGGACACTTAATTGGAATAGTGAAGTCGAAACAATGCAAGGGATTAAACACTTTAAAAAAGTCTTAATTTTTTAGATTTATATATTTATTCAAAATTTATTTCCTTACGATTTGCTTCAATTCATTTCTTGTTATTTTTATTCAGAAGTTTTTAGGATCATTTTGTGTTTCAAGATGTTTTTAAATTGTATTTACATTTTACTTATTAAAATTAAAAAAACTGAATTTTAGTTTTAAACCCAAACGTCTTTTGTTATTTTAATTAACCCTTCAAAAGTAATAAATATGTTTCTTTAAAAAAAAACCTTTTTGAATTTCTAAATTTTTACCAACATATTTTTATTACTTTTTTCAGTGTTCACCATTGGAGAATCCTATTGGGCCCTCCTGGTGGCACGGGCGATTCAAGGAGTGGGCTCCGCCTGCATCAACATCTGCGGAATGAGTTTGGTGGCCCAGCATTATCCGGAGGAGGCTCGTCGCTCCAAGGTGATGGGCATCATCCTGGGCAGCATCGCACTGGGAGTGCTGCTCGGCTATCCCTTCGGTGGAATTCTCTACGACCTAATGGGAAAGTCGTCTCCTTTTATCATTCTATCCACACTGATGTTCTTGAGTCTGGGTCTCCAACTCCTGACCATGGATCTTTCCGTTCAACCGGAAGTTGTGGTGGAGGAGACTCCCAAGTGGCGGCCTCTTTTGGAGTGCAAAATGATCCTGGCAATTGTGTTGGCCATTTGGTTCTCCACCTCGACCATGGCCATGTTGGAACCCTGTCTGCCCATCTGGCTAATTCAGTATTTGAAACCGAACAAGTGGCAGTTGGGAGCCGTTTTTATTCCCGATTCTGTGGGTTACTTTGTGGGCACTAACTTCTTTGGTAGCATTGCCTATAAATATGGACAAGTTAAGGTTTCTTGTATAAGTCTTCTACTGGTGGGAGTGGCCTCCATTCTGGTAAGTTCTAAAATGAATTTGAACCCCTCATTCATATCTTACTTTTATAGATACCAAGTGCAACAACGGTTTCCCAACTTTTGATGCCGCACTTCGCCTTGGGTCTCGGCATTGGGGTCATTGATGCCGCCTTAGTTCCTCTATTGGCCACCTTTGTGGATGCCACACTTTCCCAAGAGGAGCAAAGTGAGGGCAGCAGCTCCATGTCCAGTTACGGAACTGTTTATGCCATTCAACAGACATCGGTTAGCCTGGCATATTGTTTAGGTAAGTACCAACGTATAAAAAATATATAGTATAAAATAAATACAAATAAAATAAATTAATTCTAGCTCCCTTGATTGGAGGTGAGTTGGCTCAGACATTTGGTTTTGCCTGGCTGATGCGGATTGTTGGCATTTTCAACATGATCTATGGCCCCATTCTGGTCTACTTGTATCAGAAATACGATCCCAAGGTGAGATTTATTTCAGATATCAAATAGTTACTATATTTATTTATATCTTATGGTTTTACAGGCCCTTCGGGAGCAACATAATGATATGCTGCTGCAAAGCAGTGGACGTGGATCTCGATATAAGCAGCTCTATAACTCGATGGATGTGGAATAGGATAGTCTGTCCAGGTCTCAGAAATAAATCTCAAGCACTCTTGAGTGTCCAAATTAGGCGTTCCTTTGGCTCATTAAAGCAATATATTTAGAGCTGATTTTTTGTAAACCATTTAAATCCTTTCAAGTCCCGAATCTCTGATAACTAAAATCTCCTTGAAAAATGTTTGCAAGTCACTTAGGTTAATATTAATCCAATTTTCCGATTAAAAGTATTAAACAAGAAATATTTTAAGAAACTAAGTTTGGATTTTAGTAATATTTTTTTCGATCAACTGGGCCTTGAATCGGACTTCAACTATAGCTGATATGTTGGGGTCTGTGTAAGCCTCATTCTGTTGGCAGGTTCCTTTCGGCAAATACCTCAAATTTGGGGTACAAAATTTAATTTAACTATTTTTCTCTAGTATTGCACAAAACTTACTAAAAATGGCGGTGCGACCTTTTGGTGAGTGCCTGTTTATAGATCCTAAATTTCACCCTTGAAAGGATAACATTTTGTATCCTTCGAAGGACCCGGACCTGGTGTCTATATGCTGCCGCCCACTGTGGGCTACGACAAGCATGACAACCGCAAGCAGCGGATGCCACAGTACTCCTTCGGCATGCGGACCCGTGGTCTTGGCGAGGATCCTGGACCAGGTCCGGGTGCCTACAAGGTGGACAAGCTGACCCGCTACGGGCCGAGCAAGGGACTGGAATTCTCGATGTCCCCCAGGACGAATACAATTGGTGAGTGTAATTAAAACTAATTACAAATACAAATTTATAACAATTAATTCCGATTGATATTTTGATACAATATGCTTTAAGAATGTTGCTTTTGTTTCATATCTATCTTTTAATTCCCTATAATAATGCAGACAAGCGATGTAGTCCTGGTCCCGGAGCCCACGATGTCCACAAGAAGCCATTCTTTACGGGGGTCACTGCGCCATCCTATTCGATGGGTCTGCGAACGGACTTCAACTTCAAAAAGGAAGGTCCTGGTCCGAATGCCTACAAGTACGAGGTGAACGCGGTTCGTCCTGGAGTCCCTAGTTACAGCATGTGAGTGAAACTCGATTCGGATCTCGCAATTTTGTTTTCATCCTATCCAAATGTATATTTTTTAGGGGCCTGCAAACTAAAACGATCAACAAGGCGGACTCCCCAGGTCCAGCTGCTTATGGAGGCGGCGACATCAATGTGAAGCTGAACCGTGCTCCGATCTACTCCATGCAGCCACGTACTGCGATTCCGGGCGAGAGCGTTGGACCCGGACCAAACTACTACGACCTCATGTACTATCGTCCTGGCAGGAGTGGACCAGGATACTCCTTCGGCGTGCGCCACCACCAGTTCGCCCCGCCCATGATAGTAAGGTGTGACAACATGTAAAGTGCAATATTAGAAGAAATGTTCAAATTATCAGTGAATAAAAAATAAAATTGTAAACTGTTTTCAAAACTTGGTTAGCCATTTTACTCCCATCGAAAAAAGTAATAGCGGAATTACTTATCGTGCGTTTAAATTTTTCAATTCTAGGTGGTCGATTTTTCAGGGGTTATGTCAGATTTTTCCAAGACTGCGATGATTTTCAGTATTGTGAACTCCGCCAATTTCAGTCCGATTTCAAAGTGGAATTCCTAAGCGAACTACGTTAACATTTTTCAATTTGGAGATAGTCACTTTTTTTCACCTGTTCATGTCAGATTTTTTCACATGTTCAATGGTTTTCAGCATAGTAATCCAGTTATGGACTTTCACAGCCGACAACTTTACTAATTTAAGTCAGATTTCAAAGTGGAATGCTTTAAAATGTTTGTGACGAAATTCCCAAACATCTTGCATTAAATTTTTTTAATTCAGGGATGGTCCAATAGCTTTTAATAAAGGAGACCGGAAACTGAAATTCCATAAGCTATAGTAGATTAGAAAAGTTACTTATTTTATTTCAATTTTAATAAATTTATTGAATAACTAGACAAGAAATCAGAGTAGGCTTTTTATAAGATGCCAAACCAGAAAAGTAAAAAAAGACAACATAAATTTTTGTGACCATTTTAAACATAAAATTTGATACATACATATATAAGCCTGGTTTTAAGCAAAAAGCGGTGAGTTGTCCAGCTAGCAACACGAACTATTTATTTGCACCGAAGTTCTAACCAAAAATGTGGCCCTGTGCAGTTTTCTCAGTGATTGTAGTATCCATTTCTATAGTTTGTTTATTTATTTTAATGCTTTCGGCTTTAAATGCACATCACTAAATTTTCAAAAAAGTTTTTTTTTGAAAACAAACAACGTTTCCCGAATAAAGAACGCAAAAGTTTTCGTTTCAAGATATACACCACTTGAATTTACGCGCCATGTTTTTTTACCCACTTAACATAGCCTGTTTATGTTAAAATTTTTAGAGTGACCGCCGCAAAAGTCAAGATAGACAATGTGTTGGTATTATTAAGGTTTGTGTTCAGCAACACTTGCGCCACCGTTAGTAACACTGTACATTTTTTTGTTTGTAGATTTTTGGCTGTTTTATTTATAGTTTTCCTCTAAAGAAGTTTGCAATATTAGCCAAGCACATTGGTAGCTTCGTCCAGCTCGTAAATTGTGTGTCGTCGGAAACACAGATATAGATTTATATACACGTATATATGTATATTTGTATAGATAATTAGAGAACATTTACTGCCGTAATAACTGTTAGTTGGCGACCAATTAAAGTGGAGGGGCATACAGTACGGCAGGAAAAAGTACGGGCACTGATTTCGGGCCTTCCATGTTCCCAGTTCGCCATTGGTAACATGTTGAGCGATGTGGTGGGTGCTGCCGGTCCTGGTGGCGCCCCAGATCACCAGGAACAGGAGCAACAGCACGAACAGGAAGAGAGTGCTGCGCAGACACCGCCGGTAGAGGATCCACCTCCATCCGTACAGGAGCAGCCAAAGACCCCATCGCAGGAGACCCGCCATCCGCCGAGTTCCCATTCCCGGCGGTCAGGCGGTGGTCAGGCACCATCCAAGAACCAGTCGGGCAACAACGAGTGTCAGTTCTTCTTCGAGGACGAAGTATTTCGCATCGATAAACGGGGTCGCGTCCATTTCGGGGTGGTTACCGAGACGGCGGAGTCCTATTCCTCCGACGAGGATGAGGAGATGGACGAGATGCTGTCCAAAGGCGAGGTGCGCGTGGCCTTCTATCCGGACGGCAAGGAAGTGGTTCACTCAGAACAGGCGGTAAGTAAACTCCATTGAGGTTATGTAACCGTCAAGGTCCCCCCGAAAAATAACTGTTTTCACAAGTGTTTTGCGTTTGCTCTTTTCGTTCTTTTGACACGTGTTTGTTTGCTTCTTTTCGTATTCATTTTTGTTTTTTCTTAAATTTGTTGACTTCTAATTATGTGGCATATATGCACAGATTGGTCTGGCAGATCGAACGCTTATGCCAGGTGATGTGGTGCGAAGGCGTTTACCGGGACAAAAGGATCTGGTTGGACAGGCGGGCTACGTGCGGGATGTTAGTGTGCGCGCCGATGTCAAGGTTATTGGGGCAAAGTTGGTCATCAAAAACGTACCCGCAGAACGTTTGCGACCCATCTCCGACTGGACCCGGGACGTGGCCGTTTGTCTCGGCACCTGGATAGGCACAACCATTTACGTGGACGAGTGTGTCGTGCTCAAGTATTTCACATACCCCTTAAGTCCCTCTAAGAACTCAATTTCATAAGTGTACGACTTGCAGATCTGTAAATGGCGGCCGTTTGGAGATCACCTCCAACGATTTCCTCAAGTTCAAGGATGCAGTGGTCCCAAGTTCCCACGAGGTCTTCAATCCGAATATCTACTTTCCTGGTAACATGGTCGTCGGTCGCTTGCCTGCCCCGGATCGCTACAAGAACCTGACTCCGGACATCCCCCTGCAAGTCAGTCGCAGGGGTCGAGCAATGGTAAGAATATATAAATATGCAGTTTAAAGCTATTTCTCCTGTCGTGACTTGTTCACTTATACACGCAGTGCTATTGATTTATTTCGCACTCGGAAAGTGGATATTTAATAAGTTATTTCGACTTTATTTATAGAAAAAATTTCTTTTTGCATTCAAATATTGGCCAAATGTTAAACTTAAATGTTAAATATTAACTCTTCCATGCAGTACACCGTGGAATCCATTCGGACTTCATCCATTAATGTGGCTTGGACCTGCCGGGCCATTTCCCAGTTCGACAATGCAACCGATATCGATCCTTTAAAGCAGCCAAAGACCACTATTAAGGGTGAGGATTTGAACAATGTCAAACGCCTCAACATCTACGAATCCTGCGTTCTGCAAATTCATGATCGATTCTACCTCAAATATTCAAAATGTGATTTACTAATTAAACAAACCGACTGGGAAGATGAACAAGGTAGGGTATTGATGAAGATTTTGTACGGATTGATACGATATGTATTCCTCTCTTATAGCGGAAAAATACCTGCCCATTTACAACAGCCAGAAAAAAATGGAGCGCAAGAGCAGCAAGCTGAACTCATCCCCTTCGAGCAGTGGCAATGCCCGAAATGTACCGAAGTTCCGCCGGCTGGCCAACAAATTTAGTGGAATGAGACTGCCTCGTCCAGCCATCGACCATACTCAAAGGCCGTATGATCGCAGTAAAGAGGAGATGTCATCGGATGAAGAGGAGGAAGAAGAGCCAATTCAACCCATTGAAAATGAAGCCAGGGATCCAGAGTCTATGCCCACAGCTTCCACAGCCGCTGCATGTGCAGGTGCCGCTGCAAGCGCAGGTGCCACTGGTGGCGCAGGTGGTGCATGTGCTGGTGCCCAAGCGCCCAAAGTAACGATGCGAGCTGCCAAGCGGCGGCATATGAAGAAGAAAATGCGCACTGTGAAGAAAATGATTACTTCTCCCTTTAGCAAAAAGGAACTTGCTCCCAAGGACGGCGACGAGATCGTTGTGGAGACACTGGTCGTGTATAGTACGGTTACGGTCGTCTGGCAGGATGGCTCGGTCGAAACGGGTATTCCTTCCACCCAACTGTATCCCATCCATCATTTGGACAACCAAGAGTTCTTTCCCGGCGATTTTGTGAGTAAGGCCAACGAGAACAGCACGGGAGCCACCGACTACGGGGTGATTCAGTGCGTCGACCATGACGAACGCATTGCCAAGGTCATGTGGTTCAACATCTATTCCCATGTCGACAATCCAATGTGAGTACTTCTTACTTGGTTTCGCTAACAGGTATCGTAATGATTTTTTCCTTTGCAGTCCGGTCTGCAAAGAAGTAGAGGAGCTCAGCGTTTACGACTTAAAGGACCACTCTGACTACCAATATCGACCCGGTTCTATGGTTATCCGAGTGTCAAACTTCACGGGCGAAAACGTTGACTCAACTGCCGGCCAGGTGATAGACAACTACCCCGATGGACGGGTGCGAGTTTGGTGGGCCAAGGGCCACATCACCATGTGCTATCCGCAGGATCTGTTCGAGATCAATCATAATGACCAGGAGCATGATCCCTTCGAATCGGATGGGTCAGAAGACTCGTGGGAGACGCAGTCGGAGAACAGTCGTGTGGGATACAATTTAAGCCTGTCTACTGATGTGGAAAACGAAGATCTCATTCTAATGGGAATTTACTACGCAACTGAGGCAATGAAAAGGTTGGAGAAGATTTTCCGTATCCTGCCAGCAAAGGAAAAACCTGATGTGATTCTCGATCTGATGTCTGTGTACAAAAACTGCCGGTGCCTGGACACAAAGCTCGCTACAAACTTTTTCCACGAAGACCATTTCCAAGGTATTGTGCGTTGCAAGCCCTTAAAAATCGGTTGCTTAGCGGATGCGGAAACGGAGGCGCCTGCAGAGGTGTTACCCATCACGACTAGAGTTTCACCAAACATCAAGCTAGAACTGGACAATATTGTTAATTCAGCTGCGATCCAGTCTTCATCGACGCCCACCAAGCGGAAGTCTTCAACGGAAGTGGACGAGGTTCAGTGCAAAAAGAGCACTGATGAGGTTATGGAGGAAGAAGAGGAAGATGGAGCATCACTGGATCAACCTCATCAGAAGGTTTCGCTTACTGAGAGTGAGAAAAAACTAACCTTAACCCAGCTACTGAAGAAGTATCGCAGCGAGTACAAGGATTTAATCGGTCAAGCAATGGAAAGCATGGCCAAAGCTTTCGAGAGTCGCACCAAGGTAAGCATTAACACTTAATTTTTCGCGCTTCTGTTTTTATAACTATACTTTCTAAACCCCATTTTTTTTTGCTTTCCAGAATGATTCAGGTGTCCATTCGCGGGGTGAAAACATCTCGGATGATTCAAACAATCCAGACAACGATAATAAAGTGGTGAAGGCGGTGTTCCCAAAGCAGGAAGAGAAAAAACCCAAGGAGGATGCCTACGTAATTGAACTGATAGCCAAGCGCGATGCGGATGTTTGCGAGGTCTTCTGTTTTTTGATCAAGGAGCAAATGGCCAAGTGCCGAGCAGTGGTCGTTGAAAAGCTTTCCAAGGCAAAACACGTACTAAAGGATGAGCTGATAAGCGACTGTGAGGAAGCCATCGAAGAGGACAACAATGATTTGAAGCCAGCGGAAGATAAGGAATGTCCAATGGCAGATGATGATGCTATGGAACAACCGTTGAATCTGAATGCCCTGTCCGAGTCGCTGCCACCCATTGATAGCCCCATGGCCAGCTCCTCGCCCTCTCGTTGTGAAATTCCTGTTACGCCGCCCGTGTGCGAAAACTGCTTTCAAGTTCTGCCCAATGCACCGGCTGCCCATCACTACATCGGCAACCAGATAATCCCGATCAACAAGGCGCACTATCAGCGGTCTGTTAAGCGGGAATACACCATGCTGCAGGCCTCTCTTCCCCCCGGAGTGATTGTGCGCGCTTACGAAGATCGCATGGACCTCATGTCCGTAATGATGGTGGGTCCGCAGCGCACGCCCTATCAGAACGCCCTGTTCTTCTTTGACTTTCAAATGGGTCGCGACTATCCAAAGAGTCCGCCGGTGTGTCACTACATAAGCTATTGCACGGAGCGCCTGAATCCCAACTTGTACGAGGAAGGCAAGGTGTGTGTATCGCTGCTGGGAACTTGGTCTGGTCGCGATAGCGAGGTGTGGTCCTACAGCAGCACCATGCTGCAGGTGCTCGTCTCCATACAGGGACTCATACTGGTCGATGAGCCCTACTATAATGAGGCGGGCTACGAAAAACAAAGAGGTAACTTATTCAATTTGAATGCCAAGAATAGAATATATAAACGTCTTTTTTTGTCAGGCACCCAGCTGGGCAATGAGAACTCTCGTGTTTACAATGAGATGGCCATCATAAAAATTGCTCACTCCACTGTTAAGCAGCTGCAGAATCCGCCACTCATCTTCCGCAACGAACTTATTGAGCACTTCAAGGAGTTTGGCAGTGAACTGCATGGCCGCATGCAGGCCTGGTCAGAATATTCGGCAGAGGCCCAGCGCCAGCATATAACTAGCATCAAGGGTGAGTGCTTGGAGTTCCCAGCTTTGCCAAATGATTTACAATCTCTTTTCTTAGACATGCCCGCCGATTACAAGGCACCCTGCGAACTACCCGAGTTTCCCCTACTTCCCTGCAGTCGTGGCTTTTGCATAGCGGTCAAGGGCGTTTTGGGTCAACTTCATAGCGAACTGACCGCCTTGGGAGCGAATTTAAAAACTACAGAGCGAAATGGCATCGCGGCGGGAACGGGAACTGCGCCGCGTGCAGCTCCGGAGGAGATCTGAGTGCAGCTTGTTCTGCCCAGCCCAAGCCTGTGAAAATGGTGCCTATCAGATAAATCACAAGACTTTTGCCGCCCGCGCTTGGGAGTCTGATCTGGCCCTTGGCAAGGGGCAGCGTTTTATAGCCACTATCGAATCTCGAATTTTTCTCTACTCTTATTGCTGGCAAACAGCCTTTTAGTTAAACGAAATTTCATAAAAAAACATATAAAAAAAGCAAATTATATATAAATATAGCGCGCAAGTAAAATGAAAATGGTATAATAGATACGGCTATTGTAATGCCAGTCGGTCAGTTTTATCTATTTTTAGTTGTTAGGCCAGCAAACAAGTTAATCAATTCTCGTTGTATTTATTGTGTTGTTCCGATTATTGTGAACGCTGGCCTACACGAATCTTTGTTTATGCTGTCGCCGTCATGTTGTAGTAGGCATTCCACTAGAGCTTAGCTTAGTTAGTTCACCTTCTCCCGTCCCCGAATCCGCACTATGTACGTAATATTGTAAGCTAGCCAATGCGAAAAATGTGAATAAATTACCAATTTTATTTATTATGCCTCCAATTTCTGCTGTATCCACTCGATGAAGGCACCGGTACGGGTGTAAACACCTGGCCAACCCTTAAGGCCACATGGTTTTGTGCCATAGGAGGTGACTCCGGCAATGTAGAAGACCTCCCGACCTCCGGATGTATTGCCAACCATCAGAGGACCACCGGAATCACCGCCGCAGGTATCATATCCAAACAGGCCGCCGGCACAGATCTGGGTGTCGTCCAGCTTCACCTTGAATGTGGAGTACTTTTCCTGGCAGCTCGTCAGGTTCCACACGTTGACGGTGAGCTTTAGCTTGGTCGGACTGTTGACCAAGTTCTCGGTAAGACCCCAACCGGCCACATCCATGCCGTAACCGACGAAGTTGTTGCGCACCAGGTCACCAGTGGGCAGGCAAATGGGACGCACATAGTCAGTGTAGCTGTCGGGATAATGTTAGTAATGTAAATGGAAAGGATAACTGAAGGAGCCACTCACGTGACACTCTGCTTGAGACGCAGCAGGGCAATGTCGTTCCTCTGGTCCACGGAATTCGGAGTGTACTGCTCATGAATAATGTGCTTCTCCACCTCGATGTCGATGTGATTCGGAGCACAGATGCGCTTCCCGTTCATCTGGACGGCGCAGTCGGGATCGGTGCGGGTGTCCCACTCACCGAGGCGAACGCTGTTAAGGGTGGCGCCGGATTTTTCCAGGTCGCGACTCGACACGCAGTGTCCTGCGGTCAGGACGTAGCGGGAATTAAGCAGGGCGCCGCCGCAACCGAACATATAGGATTCGGGAAACACTGAAAGAAAAATAAATTTAGTATCATGCGTTTTAATAGCCACTCACTTCATTCGGACAAAAACTGATAAGCAGGTTACAAAATTTACATACTGTTTGTTTTTAATTATCAATATTGATATATTAATATATTAGTACATATTAATACATACACATTATTTTACTTATAAAGAGTCAATGATTTATTTTATATAAGAGCGCCTTATCTAGCCTCGTGTAAACTTGATGCATTTCCCTTGGGGAAAACCATAAATAATTTCTAGATTGACTTGGTTTAATCAGTTTACAGTTCATACTGAAAAATAATTAATTATTCAACTTTGAACTCAAAGCGATCGGGGTTTTTTTGAATTTAGGTAAAACTGAATAAATTGTTTTTCATTCCAAAAGAAAACAATAATCAAGATCTTGATGCGAACCAGGAATTCCTAACAGCATTTATGATGATAATAGAAATTTCTAAGCATTAATTATAAAAATCAAAACAATTTTGCGAACTAATCTTTGCTGACTTTACTGATTACAATATATTATATATACAAAATACTTCCGTAATAAATACTCACGTTTTTTGTAGCGCAACAAAACCATCCACGGATATTCCCAGAGGCTCGTATTGGTTCCACCGAAGATGCGATCGGCGAAAAGGAAGCCGCAAACATCGCTGCCGGGCAGAAGGTTTCCCGGTTGCTGGCCCTCCACTTCCGTGGTCCTGGGCTCCTCCTTGTCCTTTTGCTCGCTGTGGGGACAGCAGACCAGGATGCGGTTCATTAGACCCTCAACCCGGTTATCCAAGCCGCACTGACTCTTGCTGAGCAGCGTTCGCTGGGCGGGATCCTTTGTTCCCGACGCGAGCAAGTTGGCCAGAAAGGGGCAGTCGGTGATGTGGACGCACTGCCCCCGCTCCTCACTTTGTGGAGGCGTACAGGTACCGAAGGTGATCTGCGCCGCATCTGGAAGGGAAGAGAGCGGTTTATGAGGCGGTCAAACCGGTTCTTCGGCAGTGCAATAAAAATGTTTGATATTTCTATTAATTTTTTTTTCTCTTTTTTAAAATAAAATAGTGGGAAAAAATAAATTTAATAGGTCAAGGATGGCAATTTATGAAGATAATACTTAAAAAGTAGCTTCATTTAATAGTTTGATTATTTCGCAGTGTAACAGCTAAATTCATTAATTAATCTATAATCTTATTTCAGTCACACGTGACGATATGCAATGAGTTGAGTATATTTTACCGAAGGTATTCAAATTATTTGGAACAGTTCCTTTACCCCTTAAATACATCATAATTTACTTACCTGCTCCTAAGAATAATCCTGCTAAAGTGCTGAGGATCAGCGACAGTAGGAAAAAGTTCCGCTCTTTATAAGCCATCTGATCACTTCGGTTTTCAATTTGATACTAATTAAAATCGTTCTCTGTTAGATCGGGCAAACTTTGCATCGGGTACGATTATTAATCGCGTCGTCATCTCGGTGTTTAAGATCGATGCTGTCAGACCCTGTTTTATAGGGTGGAGTTTTCCCAGATTTTCCATTAGCATATGGACTTTTAAATGGAATGAACCGATCCCATTGCAAAGTTTGATCATTTATTCTTTCCTTAACCGGTTATTCGCGCAAACTTAATAATGACGATACAGTATCGTCAGCGATAAACAAATTCACTAAGTAAATATTCACATGTTTACCTTTGTGCGGGACTCTTCTCGTTATACATTTCATAAGTTATAGAAAAACCACAAAAACTGTACATATAATTGGATGATTAAAACACATGATTTAGTTATTTCGGTATAGAAATCATTTCAAATAATAACGCCAACGACATGCATTTCGTAAATTTCTGAAAAGCTTTCCAAGCTTTTATTGGCAAAAAAGAGCGCGAGAGAGCTTTGCGTTATACGGCCACCGTTTTCTAACGGTGCTCGGCTTAGAATACTTTCTTTCCTTGAACGCAGCAGACGCGTTTTCCGAATTTCCCACAGCCGCAAATCAGAGGTAAAACAGATTTTCCTTGCTTTAAGTTTTGTCGATTGTTAAAAGGCGAGATTCATAGTATAGGAAACGCTAGCATAGTGTCTCGGGCACTTCCCTTTCAGCCAGCTTTATTTGTTCGATAAACTGCATTGTTTGTGTATGTGTGTGTGTGTGTGTGCCCGTATAAGTGGCAAGTGCAGATACTTGAGTTATTCTCCGGTGGCCCTTTAATTCGATGGATTCCCAAACGTGCTTAAGTGTTTTCCCGAATGCATCGATAATTCGCTCAGGCGGCCAATTTACTCGATTTACACATTGCCTGTGAGGGTGGTTGTGTGTGAGTGAGGGACAGAGTGTGTGTGTGTGTTAGCTCAATTCGCATCAAAGTTGGCGTGTTATTTTGCGTTGCCTGCTTCTTGGCGTTTTTATTATTTTCCACCGCTTTACTGTCCCTGCCTTTGTTGTTGTCTTATCGATTTCTTGTGTTATTTTTAGCGTGATTTGCATATGTATGTGAGTGCTTTCTCCTTCTCGTTGCGTAGATGTATGTGTGCCGAAGTTGTTTGTGCTTGTTTTTGCGCTTCCTTTTTGATTTCCTTTTGTACTTGTGCGTGTGTGTGGGTGTAATTGAATCTTGGCTGCTAATCAAAAATGAATAACGTCGTGTGTCACTTTCAGTTTTTGGGCATAAACAACATGGCGGAGCGGAATCTCTTGGCCATCCTCCTTTTGGCCAGCATCTGCATGGCTCAGGCATATCCGGCTTTATTGCCCTACATCTACAGTAAGTATTAGTACCGCACCCCGCTATTCTTGACCTCCATATCTTACCTTTAAAGCGATTACTTGCATTCCCACCGGTCGAAATAAATACACAGAAAGAAAAAGCTTACATTTTCTTGTTGGTTTTTAAAACTTAAGCCATATTACGCATTAGGTTTCCAGTTTCGTTTGGTTAGATTTTGTAGTTAAGATTTAATTTCAGTAAACATTTAAATTTATTTAAAATCCTTTGATATTGTTGAAGTTTTTAAAATGGTATTGTTTCATTTAAACAACAACAATTTTTTTTGTAACATTCTTACAACATAAAAAAGTTATACAAGTTTTTTAAAATAATGTTCATGACAGAATTTTTTAGGCTTAAAAGCATTTAAATTAAATGGTTTTATTAAAATTGTTTTGAAAGCTTATTTAGTGTTGACCTAATTTCCATGTTTTGGTTGTTTTTGTTTATTGACAGTTTTAATTGCATCATAAATCGCATCTTTATCGTCTGTTATTTTTCACATTTATGGAGTACAATCGGTTTATCTTGTAATTTATTTGATATGATACATAACCAACCATTTCCCAAATTAGATCCTTCGAAGCGAAGTGACACGGCTTTCCCCCAAATCGAGGACGATGTGAGTGAGCTGGACCAGCTGCGAAATGAGCCGGGAGCGGTGGTGGCCAAGCGGCAGCACGATGGCAGCACCGCCCGCACCACCACAACCACCAAGGAGAGCGTCGAAGAGGTGGCCGCTGCTCCTGAACCTGGCCAAAGTCCAAATGCGAACATCCTGCCCGATTTGGAGCGACAGCTGGAGGTGGCCACGCCTCTGATTTCGACCACCACAACAACCAGCACATCGGCCACCACAACAACGGCGACCTCCAAGGAAGAGGGTGAGAGGTCACAGTTGGAGGAGCCAAAAACACAAATCAAAACCGTGGTGGAGCCAACGGCCCACGCGAAGGTAAGTGGCCAAGTCCCCGAGTTCCCTCGAGAAACCTCCTCTAGACCGCTTGGTAAAACTCCAAACTCCTCTCTTGCAAAATCCAAGTGTATATCTACGAAACCACCCAAAAATCAACAGGCATTTTACGGGGCGGCTCGTCTAGCTTTTGGCCAAAATCCGGAGGTTTTGCCAACGACCACAACGACCAGTACCACAACCACATCGACCACAACGACAACGACGCCAGCTCCGCCAGCTGAACCGGAGCCAGAGGCCGATGCCCAACCACCGGCCGAACCGGAAGCTAAAGAAGAAGAAGCGGAAACGGATGAGGAACCCGCTCCCGAGGTGGCCGGAGAACCAGCTGAGGCTGAGGATCCCGCCGGCGAAGTGGCCGAAACCGAACTGACCCATCTAAATCCGCAGAGACCCAAACAGAACCACCACGAATCGAACAAGGAGACGATCGGAGATATTGTCTTCGATGTGGTGTCCCGAACCACGGAGCGAAGATCCAGTACGCCCAAGATCACGGCCAAGGTTCTTATGAAATATTTTCCATCCATCATGACAAAATCAGCGGCAAAATTCAAACAAAATTATTAAATTCATCATTGGCATTCAAATATTTGACTAAAGGATCTCAAAAATGGGCTAAACTTAAAATTTCTTTCTTCCTACAAATTGATTGGCAAAACTCTAAAAATAAATACTTAATAATAAGTTCATTACCTAAAATAATTTTAGACATTTTTTTTTCCAATTAATTTTTCAGACCGCCAAGAACTTACTGCGCAGTCCAAATGGCCAGTACTCGTCCTTCGACATGGCTCAGTACATTTATTGGACCGGAGACGAAACAGCTGTGGTGAAAGCTGTTCAGGAACTGGTTGAGGGAAAGGTGGTAAGTGCACTTGAAGAAATACTGGCCTTTTAGACACAATCCAATTAATATAGATATTGATTTAAGTACCGAATTGTTTTTTATTGAAAAATATTAATTAATTTTACAACAAGTTATAGCATGAGACAAATAATTTACTTTAGTTTCGGTTTTTGCTAATAGATACACTGGTCAGTTTCATCACTTTGTTTACATGTCCGAATCAGATTTCATCATAACATTTAGTCTTTCATGGCTTCGTAATAATAAACAGTAAATCCATAAGGCTTTGTGATCGGAGCCTCAAAACGTTGGTGGCATTTTGGCGGACCGTGGTGGTGATGGTGGTGGTGATGACGGTGCCACCCAAACGGTGGGGTACGATGGTGGTGTCGATCCTCATGATGACCCCAACGATGTCCGAAATGCCAGTGATGACCATGGTGTTCATGGTGTTCCTTGCGTTCCTTGTGGTGTCCGCAGTGGAACATTCCAAATTTACGTTCTGGTTGTGGTGCTTCCATTATTATTTGTTTGTTTGGTTTGTAATTAAATATTTATTTTTTTGAATTTGCTTTAGAGAACTTCTCTGTTTTGCTGTTGAAGGCGGACTGATTTCCCACTGCTTAGGCAAAGCTCTTTATATTCCGCGCCGAAAACATTTCGCAACAGCTAAGCGTTGAGCGATAAGAATTTCTGTATTATTATTATTGTTATCTTATTCAGTGAGGTTTGGCAGTTTGTATGAAAATTATTATTGTATATGTGAAATTGAGTAGTTTATTTCTGTATACACAATTCAAATATACAAAACTAATTTGACGAGATTATTTGGTTTACTTTAACGTTTACTATCAAATAATATTAGAAATGCTATCAAACTTTGTATAATTCGCTCTGACCAATAGAAGAATATGGTTTTATTTTTAGCTAACCGGTTGGCTTAAGTTGATTAACTCTCTCATTTCGCTACCTTTGAATAAGGTTTCATTCTTGTCAGGCCTAAGAGACCTAATACCTCATATTATATTTTTTATGATGTATGTGCACTAAAATAAGTTTATTACACTAAAAGATATATATTGATTTTGCCAATTTATCTAATAATTATTAATAAATTACATGATATGTTACAATTACCAAACTATGTAATTATCACATATTTTGGCAGATCACCCGGGAGAGCGCACTAAAATTCCTGCAGGATATTCGGTTGGGAATAGAGTTCCTGCAGCGGTCGTATGCCAATCGCATTTTCCCCGAGGAGGTTCGCCAGAATCAATTAAAGCGCCACAGTCCCGCCATTACCACGCCCCCAACAACATCCACAACCACCACAACAACAACTACAACCAGCACAACCACAGAAAAGCCATTCCCAGAAGTGCGCGAATCCGGTTTCGAATCCGGGAGCGTCCAAGGAGCAGGAGTCCTGCCCGCGAAGAACTTCGATAGTTTTACGTTCTGGAACAAGCTCAAAGTTCTGGACAGCGAAGCACAGCAAGGTGGGAATATAACACCACCTGGATATATTATATAACTTACTTTTTTGTATAAAACCCTAGATTTGAATGACTACGACGAGGGTCGAGCTAAGATTGTGGAGTACTTGTACAATGAATACTCCCTGGAGGAGATCCTCTACAAGCTGGCAAAGGTATTTCAATCAAGTCACACCTTCTTAACTTAGTAATAATATATTTAATTTTTCTTTAAGGTAATGTTTGCCCAGTCGCTTTCACATGGATCCGATGAGGCTCAAATGGAGCTACAAAAGCTAACCGAATTTTTAGAGCGCGAAGGTAACATGGGTGTTATACCCATTGACTTGCAGAAGAAAGTTTTAAGTGAGTTGAGCCCTAAAATCAATATTTGCAATCAAAGGGTTTCATTTTTAGAATTTCAACACACAATTATTTAATGAGAAAATAATTCCGAACCATCAAAAACATAATAATTTGTAGATATTTTCTTCTAAACCGAATCCTTTGATTGGTGATCTGTATCAGTAAAACATTTCTTAATTTTTTTTTTGTATTTTCATTATTTAAGGAGTGCTGCTTAGCGCCTTGTCGGACACCCTAACTGAGCACCCGGAATTGCTGCCGGCGGCGCGGGTCAATCTGGCCAATCCGTTCTACAGGCTTCCAATGCATACCCCCAGCCAATAGAATCAAGTTGGCGGCTATTGGCTATCAGATTAATACAAGTCCCTATATAAATATATGTTAACACGCATAATCCGCATCAGCTAAATGGCATATATACCCACTGATCGGCGCTACTCTGGGGAGGCGCTCTCTCGGAACTTTAATTGAAACACGGCCCTAAGTTCACCCGATCGATTGGCAACTTCCACTTTGGTTAACGGATTAGCCTACGTGTAATATAGCAAAATATTTACGCTCGTGATATTTTTTTGGTCAGGCAGAGGCGGCAGTGAACTAACCATTTACACTACTTACGGTACGATAAGAAAATCAAAAGAAAATTAAATCGATTAAATGAAAATGAAAATAAGATACAAACCGAAGAAAGTAACCGAACCAAAAAGCAAAACTAAAAGCAAAACTGATGAGAGAGACTTGCGCCCCTTTGAGCTTTTAAAATTAAAATAGACTATCTATATGTATATGTCCACGAATATGCATACGAATTGGCACACTTGCTTATATTTGATATGAGTTCGTTAGTTAGATACAATGAGAGGTTGAGGTCGAGGTCGCTGGCAAAATCGATGGGCCGCCACGGCTGACCGATTGAAGCAGGAAAGGGCTCTGAGTCCGCCAATATCAGTAGCGAATATGGTTATAACCGCTCCACAGACGAGCGACAGTCGTAAAAACATAGTTATTACTCTATATGTTCTCCCCCGAATAATTGAGCATTGCATGCATTATTGATGGATTGGTTAAACGATTGATTGTGTTGCGAGTTACATATACGATATGCAGTAAGAACTAGAACCTGTATCAACAAATTATCGATTATACACTCAATATACATAAATATATATATATATATAAAATATGTGAAAAATCTATTTATTTAATCTACTGCTCCTTTTTGGGCTCTGAGGATTCTGGTTTGTCCAGCAACTGGTTAATGCGCTCCTCTGTCAACGGCTCCTTGCTGCTGAACAGTTTCTCGATCTCTTCCCGCTCGTCATCGCCTATATCCTTGGCATAAAGCTTGGCCAGTTCCTCGAGACGCTGCTGGTTTTTCTTTAGATGTCCGGGGAGCCAGAAAATCGTCTGCACCATTCTGAAATTATTTAGAAACGCAAACGATTATAAAGCAATTAAAAGAGTCAACTAACAATTTGATTTACTATAAATCAAATTTTACTTCAGTTTGAATATTATTTTTCTTCTGCTTTTAATTATTCTTACTTTAGGAGAATAAATCCACAAAGAGCCAATAACAAACATAGACCTGATGTCTTTATCATGGTCCAATAGTCGACCGTAACAAGTTGGTGCTTCATTTTGTAAGCTCTTTAAAGAGTTGATCCACTCGTGACTGAATTATGACTTGTACTATCATATGTGGAAAATATGGCTTGGCCATATCCCCGAGGACTGAACTTGGCTAAATGTTGTGGCCACGTCGTTAGGGGCAGCAGGTAAAGGAGTTACGTGTACTAAAGAGTACACGGCAGACCAATCATGTGTGGGCTCTATAAATCGATATTACATTTGTCCTGATTTGATGACCCCTCTTCAAACAGAAATACTGCAAAGGTGTTGCTGGTAAACAAATATTGCATGTTGCCGGTGACAATAGCAACATGTTGCTAATTTGGGTTAAACTATTTTATTGTTTTTATTTGTAATCACACTTTCTATTTTTAATCGTTATCTCTTTTGAACTACGTATTTGAAAATATTAGTAAGAATGATTTGGCTAAAACGAAGTTTGGAATTTAAGGATACCCTATTTCTTTTCTATCATAAAGGTTTTGAAATATTATTTGTAGATTTTAAAGGATAACAATTTTAATTTATGTTAATATACGTATACTTCAATTATATTATTATATGAACTTAAAATTGTGAAACCAAAAAACCAAAATACTTTATTCAGTAATGGTAACTAAAATAATTGGAAATCGATGATAGAATCAGGTTGGTGGGGGTTTGGGGTTTTTAGATTGTAAATTAGGTTCCACGATTTCAATCAGAACAAGAAGCTGATTAGGCCAGGAGTATCTATCTTCTATATATTTTGCTGATTTCTTGGGGGTCCGTGAACGCGCTTGCCAATAAATCTGATTATTTACTATCATAAAACAGATAATGGTAAGGAGGCTATAAAAGCCGTGATCCAAAACCACTCGGGTCATAGTAGAGCGATGAAAGGAGAATTGTTAACATTAACCATTTTACTGGTCGGTTTGGGCCTGGTTTTGGCCGGCACACGACCGATTTCCGATTGCGTAAGTACATATATTAAGAATATTACTAACAATAATCTTCAGAATTTAAAGAGATCTTTTAACTGCTTTAAATGATTAGATTTATAAAACCACTTGAATAAATTTCAACTTCTTTTTTAAAGGGTGAGCGCATTGAGGATGATGGCTATCCGATGGAGCGTCATGTGGTGACCACCACGGATAACTACATCCTGACCATGCACCGCATCCCCTATTCCCCCAAAACTGGTGACACTCCCGATCGTCCGGTGGCCTTCCTCATGCACGGAATGCTGAGTTCATCCTCGGATTGGGTGCTCATGGGTCCGGAGAGATCCCTGGCCTACATGTTGGCCGACGCTGGCTACGATGTCTGGATGGGAAATGCCCGAGGCAACACCTACTCCAAGGCGCACAAGTACTGGCCCACTTATTGGCAGATCTTCTGGAACTTCAGTTGGAACGAGATTGGCATATATGACCTGCCCGCCATGATTGATTATGTTCTGGAGAAGACTGGCCAGAAGCAGGTGCAATATGTGGGCCACTCGCAGGGAACCACAGTTTATTTGGTGATGGTTTCCGAGAAACCTGAGTATAATAACAAGATTAAGTCAGCTCACCTGCTGGGACCCGCTGCCTACATGGGCAACATGAAGAGCCCAATGACCCGTGCCTTTGCCCCGATCTTGGGTCAGCCCAATGCCATTGTGGAGCTCTGTGGTTCCATGGAGTTCATGCCCAGCAGCAAGTTCAAGCAGGACATGGGCATCGAGATGTGCCAGGCCACTTCCCCGTATGCAGATATGTGCGCCAATGAGATCTTCCTGATTGGTGGATACGATTCCGAACAACTCGACTATGTAAGTGCTACTTATTATAATAATTTCGATAACAATAATTAATTTCTACCATTTTTGTAGGCCCTTCTTGAACATATCAAAGCCACTTCCCCGGCTGGCGCTTCCGTTAACCAAAACTTGCACTTCTGCCAGGAATTCAATTCCGGCAAGTTCCGTAAATTCGACTACACAGCTCTCCGGAATCCCTACGAGTACGGCAGCTATTTCCCCCCGGAATACAAGCTTAGTAATGCCAAGGCCCCTGTTCTATTGTACTACGGAGCAAATGATTGGATGTGTGATGTGAGCGATGTGCGAAAACTGAGGGATAATCTACCCAACATGGCACTCGATTATCTGGTGCCCTTCGAGAAGTGGGCTCATCTGGATTTCATTTGGGGAACTGAGGCCAGGAAGTATGTCTACGACGAGGTCCTAAAGCAAATGCGGTCCTACGAATAGGTTTATTTTCTCACGCAATAAATGGAACATTAAGAAAAGATCTCTAATCATAGTCCATCTCCATCTCCATCTTATATTGCAACTTGACTGAAGAGGCGTCTTCGAGGTAGAACTTTATAGCGTAGTGTCCGGGCAACATGAGTTTTTTAAGCAGATGGACGTCCAGCGGAAAGTCGTCCATGCTGTAGTCCTCCGCCGGAATTGGGCAGTTGTTAGGATGCGGAGCATTCGAGTAATCCTTGATCCGCTTGTAGAAGTACTCCTTATAAACGGACTTCATAAAGTCGCAAATGGGCATTTCAAATTCGATTAGCTCATCCTTTATACCATCGCGCTCCAGACCCCGTAAAACCTTCAATTTGATCTATTTATATGGATTGTAAAACGGTTTAAAGTAGGTATTTTAAAGATTTAAAAGAAAAATATTTATTTTGCAATAGAATATTCTGTGTATTGCTCACCTTCCAATCGTTGTCGATAGTTTCATGCAACTTGAGATCTCCGCTGACCTTAAGGACATTTTCTTCGAACTCGGCAATACGCAGGTGGCTGTGTAAGGATTCGGAATCCTGATGCTTTTTCTCTAGCTTGTAGATCTTCAGCTTTCTCTCAGCTTGAGCTCCATAAAAGCTAAATGCCAGGAGAATGATCCCCAAATGCAGAACTAAACCAAAAGAGTATCCCATTTCGACTGATGCTCGACCATCTGCTGTCCAGGGTTTATAAGGATCTGAGTCGCGTTTCCACAGCAATCGAAATTGCAGCTTGTACCGGAAACGAGCTTGTTCCGGATTCCCCTTGATAAGGTGGTAATTAATATTGAAAAGCAATCTATTTCATCCATTTAGATTTATTCAATTATTGCATGGCAGTCTTAACACATAAAGCAACAACAAGCAGATGCTCAGCCATTTTCAACAAATTACATTTAATTGCAAACAGCACGACAATGACAATGAAATCAAATGAAAATATTATATGCCCACATTAAGAAGGGTACATCCAGAAAATATTCACTACCCTACCTTCCCTTCAATTGCTCTTAATAATAACTGAAAGTTTGTTTTAGATGCTGGGATATTGCTGATTAAAATATTACTTTGATCCTGTAAACCTTACTACATTTTAATCAACCAATAAAAAGAGAAAAAAAATATATTTTTTTTTAAAATCATAAGGCTTTTACTCAATATTTATTAACTTGAAACCTCTTTGATGTTTTTTTTTATATTCCAACTTAGTTTTTACATTAACTTTAAATCTTTACGACGAAAAAATCGTAAACCGATATGAAAAACTTTAAAATGATCTTTTTTACAAATAAGCAAGTCCGGTAAACTAAAAACTAATAAGTGTTGGGTTTGCGGGCATAAAACGCCTAAAACACTAAATAATTGGCTATCATAAAAGCATCTTGGTTAACAATTGGAACTGGCTATAGCTTAGTTATGTTCGGTACAGTAATGAACGAATTGCAGCTGGAATGTTAGCATTGCTCGAGGAAATCTGCCAGCCAGCCATGGGAGAATTATAGCCTGTTTTGTGGAATCGATCGAGATCTCGGCTAGCTCGGCGAGGTGCCAAAGTTGATGCGCAGTTGCTCCAGAAACACAAAGGTGATGATCGTGTGGGGACCCAGTCGCACAAATGCCGGTACATAGCCCTTGAAGAAGCCAAGAGGTCCTAGTTTCGCCGTGTGCTTCACCACATCCCAGAGGCCAGAGTACTCTCCGGGCTTGGCGTTCATCGATCGGGTTTTCAGGACATCCAGTGGTTGAGTTAGCGTGGTCGCTATCGTTCCAGCCACCAAAGAGGCGGTAAAATGAGTAATCAGGTTGTCGTGGAAATACGGCGTGGCCAGTAGGTAGATCTTCGTCTGATCGTAGAAGGCGATCTGTCCGATGGTCATCAGGATTCCACGGGCCGTCGCTGTGGTGGCGCCGGAGAAGAGCCGTGCGAATCCCTCCTGGCGGTACACTCGGAACAGACCATCAAAGGCGTTCTTATAGCTGAAATAAATAAATAAAAATAAATAAATAAATAAAATAAATAAATAAATAAAATACTTTTTGTAAGGGTATAACTATGAATCATAACTTAAACGGTTATCGGCATTACAGTTAAATGTACTATTTTTTTAAATAATGGGCAGTTAACCTTGTGATAGATAGTACAGATATTAATGTCAGACATAGCTACATTTCCTTGTTAGTTGAAACAATAATGTAATCACGGGATTTTTTAAATACTGTTCATTGACGTCACTGCATTAGTACTTTTTAAAAACATTAATAGCTTTTACAATGTAATTCTTAGGGCAAGTAACTTTTCGCCAAACAAAATAAGTTCACGTTTTTTAATGTCTTTATCTTTATCTGACGATCACTATTCATATTATAAATAACTAGACGACAATTAAGCGTAATACTTACTTTCGTCGTTGTTCCGGGGGAAGTTTTACGTCGTTCTGCATTCGCACATTAACCATATCCGCCGGAGTGCCCACTATTCCGCCAACGAGACCAGATGCTCCGGCCAGTGCCACCTTGCCGGCGAAGGTGTCAGTCTTGACATAATCCTTTCCAGCCTCATAGACTCCAAACCTGGCCGTGGAATAGGTCATCTGGCGCAGCATCGAGGCGGAGAGTCCATTGTAAAAGACCAGTATTCCCTGTTCGCGGGCGAGTTTTGGGATCAACTGCGCCACCGAAAGATGACCCTGTTGCGTCTGCAGCGTGACCTTGATAAGGTCGAGTGGATGGGTCACCATGGCGGCTCCAACGCTCGCAAGCCCTCCAAAATACCACCGCGCTTTCCTCTGGTGTTTGTCCATTTTAAAATGTTAACTAAAAGGTGGAGAGTAAGTGTTATTTAATTGATAAATTTAACACCTTTCTTGTACCTATAAAAATGTGGCACGGAGGCTATATCGAGTCTCTTTTGAGGGGCGGCATTTCCAGTGGGTCGGATGTGTTATGTCATGCCGGCGGGAATTTAAGGAACTGACGGAATTTAAGGACTCAGCAAAAAAAAAAACAGCTGGGCGGTTGCGCGAAAGCTCAGCTTAAAGCTTTCTTTGGCTATTTGGCGGTAATTGTTGAGCCGGGCGTAACCGAACCTTTTTAAGAGGGGTTGACTTTATAAAAGTCCCTTCTTTAATACCTAACATGATTGTGATTTCAATAACTTGCTAAATGATTTACATTTTTAAACAATTACCTCTATCTTAAATAATAACTCTTAAACAACTTAAATATTTTAAAAACCCTTTTCACTTCCATGTATATTTTGGCCGTTACCTCGCGGTTAACATTACCCGTTACAGTTGCGCTTTACAGCACCGTTTTTTATGTTGGCAGCCCTGTGAAACAGCTGATCGGTTAATATACGGTCATACTAGCACCTACAACATGTTTTTCATGTCAAATTTTTATATTTGTTTCGTAAAGTAAACCGCAAAAGTGAAATCCTCGCCACCAGTGAAACGTTCTTGAAATCCACCAGCCTGCCATATTCTTGGGTAAGTAATTGGCCCGCTAATTGGGGACCCACAAACTTGCGCAACAAGTCGCCATTGCCGGCCAGCGTCTTCTCCGCAAATTGCGAATTTCTATTGTTTTTAAACGTCTCGAGTGCTGTTTACATTTTGCTTTGCATATATACAGAGCTATTGCTAGCAGATCGGTAATGGATTTATTTATGGAGAGAGATACCAATCTAAGAATTTGGTCTAAATAAAAAGGAACAACAGCTAAAGTGTAGGTGCTAAAAGAGTTTGCCTATCTGTTGTCTATACTCTTCGTTTAAACGTTGGCATACCGATGGGATCGTATGGAGATTAAAATAAATGGTAATTAAAAAATCTGTAAAGCTCTCCTTAAGGTGTACATTGAGGTAAAACTTAACTGGTAATTTTAGAAGTTTGTCCGATTTTTAAAAACAATGAAATCATATCTGCATCTTAACTAATTGGACTTAAATATGTAGATAAACGTAGGTGTTATTCCCAAAACCAATTTATCACTTTATTAATCAATTCCACTTTATTTTGATTAAATAGACAGTTCTTAAAAACAAATACATTTTGATCAAACAATTCTGTAACGTAACAACCAATTGCTTGTGTTTGTTTCAGTCTATTTATTGCCCTTAAAAGTTTGTGTTGCCTTTTTCTACAACCAAAGTCAAGGGCAATTGGCGTTCGGTTACCATTGGACGTTTGTACAGTTGGTATCCATATCGGCCAAATGCTTTTTGGCCGGTTGTTTTGCTGCCATTTATAAACTTGAGACCCGGGAGTAACAATCTTTATAGGCTTGTTTGATGTCCCTGCGTTATCAACCTTCGATTGGACCCGGTTACCGGGTCGTGTTTATAGATAGATAACATGTTTACCATCGATCGCAATCCCGGTACACAACATTATTGCCAGCATGTGTTAAATTCTGTGTTTTTCCGGCCCGCCCTCTCTTATTTATTTATTCAATTACTATTTTTGTTTGGAAACATACACGTGCGTCGATTGCTTCATAAATTATATGCGAAAAAATTCGTTCTCTCCTTGTTTTGTTTTATTCTCGTTTTTTTTTTTTCGCTTAATTTTATCTGAATATAAAAATGACTGGCAGTGGTCAAAGTCGAATTAATAACGAATATCACATGATCCGTTGGCATACTAAAAGTTGTTTTCGCTTTCAATCGAGCCCCCAAAAAGTGAGGTTGATAATGGATTTTACTACTTATGAACAGCTGATTTTTGGGGAGATTATTTCGATCATCTAAAACCTTTCGTAGCACGACACATCGCGTGATAATTCAATAATCCGTCTGGCACACTATCTCTATATGTCTTTTCTCGCTTTTAAGCCACATGTTTGCCTTGCAAATTGAATAATAAACACTGACACTGCAATTGCAATTGCTAAACTGCATCGAAACAAAAAATAACAAGGGGAAAAAGCGTCCGCAGGTGATGGCGTATTTACCTTGAACAAGAATCACTGCCTCTGTTTTTCCTGATGTGTTGGGCTGTCTGCCTTCCGCGAAGAAAACTATTTAATAAGTTTATAATTTTTGGCACACCAGGGAGCGCGAAAGAGGGAGAGAGCCAGACAAAGAGAGAAAGAGAGCGAGACTCTAGTACGTCATCGCTGTCCACACAAACTGGTTGGGTTTTCGGGAAATGGGGATTGGTCAGGGTTTTTTTTTGCTGCTGGCTGGAAGCAAACGAAACGAAACGTTTGAGTACCGAAAGCGGACTGATCGCCGCCGCCGACAGCGCGCCAGATCCCACTCAACAGCCGGCAACTGTCCGTCCGTACACCCGAAAAAAAACCACTAGTAGAACCAAACCCATAAAATTCTATAACGAATACCCATTTAAAAAATATTAAACACAACTTAAACCCTAATAAAAATATTTATGACTGACAACTGCTAATTAAAATGTTTAACGTTTTTGGGGTCAAATTATAGCACTAAATGGAGTTATAACATTTTTGTTTAAAATGAAATGAAAAATATCTGTCATTAAATTTATATTTGTTTTAACCAATGATTATTTATATTTTTAAATATTGGTTTTCAAGCAATACATTTTTGGTTTTATTTTTTATTTTCAAAAAATTCTTAAAATTGAAGACTATTTTTTTAAGTGTCCACACGCGCTCTAGATTTGATTCGGCGTATGTATGTATGTATGTTTGAATTATCGCGCGGTCAAGACGGGGATGTCGGAAGTGTTCTGGTACTAAGACTGTCACCGGGATTTGGGACCCGATGCCGGAGTGGGATCGACTTAGTTAGTCAGTGACGGTCAGCAGGGTGACACTGCGAGAGAGAGAAAGAGTGAGAGAAAGTGAGCGAGCGGTAGGCCGATCGAGTCCGAGAGACAACATCAAACAAAACTGGTGAGAGCTTTTTATTGACAGCGGGTTGGCTCTCCAAACATTGTGTGTGTGAGTGTTAACAATATGTGGTATCACATAAGAACTCATAATAACACATAGAGAATACATTGTAAGTGGGCATTTGTAATACCCATTACACCCATTCATTATCTCATTTTCCATTCGGTCATTAGAATATGATCACGGAAGCGCCATGTGGAAATGAGTCAACTTTTCCACCGCACAATATTTATGTAATGTTAAGAAAATCCGGGCGTGTGCCCGCCAAAACCAATTAATCATGAGACTCTCATTCATCTAATTGGTAAGACACTTCCATCAAAATTCCTTTTATGCCTAATCAAATAGTTTTAAACAACGCTCGATTTCTATGGCTTTGTGTAATGCACTTTGGAGTCAAGGTTTAATTAGAACGTTTTTTGTTTGCCTGCACTCAAAATACTTCACGCTTTGAACGGAAAATCTTTTGCTAAACCTGCAATCTTTTTAGAGATACGGGGTTAATGCCGTGATAAGAACCATCTCGAGAATGAATGGGCAAATATTTTCAGCAACTATTATTAACAGCATGCTTAATTCTTATTTAAATATTTTTGGCACGTTTTGGTTGCATGTCGCGCCATTAACACTTTTAGTATCTCTCAGCTATTTTAGCAACTTTATTCCTAGTGTTAAATTTTGATTAAATATAATGGAGAAGAACTGTGGGCCTGCAGCAAATGAGTTTTCAAAAATAACCTTCAAAAGCTTCGAAGGAAAGCTTTTTCCTTTTTGTTGGGGATTTTCAATAGCTTTGGAGCTCAAGTGGGCATTTGCTGGCGCCTCAGACATCGGCCCATTAGCTCAGTTGGTTAGAGCGTCGTGCTAATAACGCGAAGGTCGCGGGTTCGATCCCCTCATGGGCCAGATTTCACTTTTTTATTTTTAATGAAGCCAAAGAGAATTTTATAATTATAATCGAACTTTTACTGATTTTGGGAACATTATGTACTAATAATTGTTGTTAGAAATTGTTAGAAATATTTGTGGCTACCAAAATAAAACCTTTTTCCTTTTGAAATAGGACAACAGTGGCTGAAACGTTGCCTTTTCGAACCAGGCATGATAACCATTGTGTCTAATAAATAATGAATAAAACTCCTTTCCCTTTAAATTAATGATTCATAATTTATTACAACGTGGTATATTTACACTCCCTATGTTTATTAAGTACATATTCTTGAACTGCGGCCAGGGGTGGCGCTGACAGCAATGATGAAGTGACAAGATGGAAATTTCCCTCTTTTTCATTTTCCCCTCCCAATTTTGGCCAATAAATTTCAAGTTGTTGGCCCCGTTCAAGTGCTTTTAACCTCATCGGCTCGGTCGACCACGTGACCCGTCTCGAAAAAAAAAGAACAGAATACTGCGCACTTAATTAATTGAACTCCGCAGATGACGTTTACAAATTGACTCATGGTCGTCCCTTCTCTGCTATTTCAGATCCGCACGAGTAGTCGAAACCATGGCCACCTCAGTGCTGTTAGCCTGCGGACTCAATGAGCAGAAATTGCCGGGATTCGTGCACATTAGCGAGGAGTCCAATGTGGATGGCAGCTTCCTGATCAGCTGCATTCTTGGCCAGAGGCTACGCATCTCGAACGCTGGCACCCTGCTCGTCTGCCTGCAGCATCATTACCAACATTATTTCAATGCTGGCATGAGATTGGGCTATAATACGAACATTTTCCAGGGGAAAACCCTTGGGGTAATTGATGTTCTGAGCGACATGGCAGGCGAGGGATTGGCCTCCAAGTGGCTTCGCCAAACCGATGGTCAGACATTGACCGAGCAGCTAATGGAGGACATTCGGTCGCAGGTGGAGAGCAACTACGCCAGTCGGAACTCCTACACGGTTCTGATTGACAACCTGTCCATATTGTTCAATCTGGGCGCCAGCAAGCTGCAAGTTCAGCAGTTCTGCCAGGACTTGGCCGCCCTCGCCAAGGAGCGGGAAAACCTGACGGTGATCACCAAGCTGAGCAACAGCGATATCTACCAGCTGACCGACAACAACGTGGCCAAGCTCGGTCAGGTGCGCATCCAGGTGTTGCGATTGAAGAGCGGAGTGTTTAGGGAGGTGGACGGCAAGCTCCTTATCGAACGAGTCCTGGATGAGGGCAACTACGCCTGCGAGGAGACGCGCAAGGAGGTGCTCTACAAGGTCAACGATCGCAACGTCAAGGTCTTTACACCGGGCGAAATAGGGGTGAAAGTCTAGGCGTGGTGCGGGCCAATAATTGTATGAATTTTAATAAAGCCATTTTTTGTATATTCTGAGAATTGCCAGTCAAAGGTTTCTTTTCGGCGGAATTTCACTGCGTCTGATACACTAAGAAATTATATTTGGTCTTGGATCAAATTTTATAAAATTTAAACCCAAAAGGCTAAAAATGTTTAAAAAAATATATATATTTAAGTAAAATGCTTGGAAATATTTGTCTACGTCTTGTCTCTCTTTAATTTGCCATTTGGGGTACCCAGTTTTTATAAAGCGTTAAATTTAATATTAGAAGGGATCCAAAATGTTCGACATACTTGAATATATACTTTTAAAAGCATTGCTTTGTTCCTGGTTCAACTATCCACGTTAGAATATATATAAATAGGCTTTTTTACACCTACTATGGCTTGTACATTTGATAAAATTTAAGAATAGATACTATAAGTGTAGAGTTAACTAGTCAATGTCCCTCGTTGGCCATTGCGCCGTTCAATATAATTGCCTTTGTCCGTCAAATATCTGGTAGCATCTGTTGACGTCACCCTCGAAGGCGAAGCATTGATGAATTTATGTCTGGTCACGATCAATAAGGAGCCAGTATAAATGACTCTAGGCGGTAACCCAAGTCCGCGCCAGAAAAGTTTGCCCAAACTCTTAGGCCCACATAAACGCTAAATGACGTCGCCGACAATAAAAGCGGGCAATTGAATTTTTCCAAACCATACAGCAAAAAAGAAAGTTGATTAACTAAGCCATGACCGTTGCCAAAAATTGTGCTTCGGTTGCAAAGAGGTTTTTGGGGACCGGCCCGGCGAAGATTTATTTTTATCTGTGTCGTCCCAGAATTGGATTGAGTTTTACCGTCCGGGATAATGGCTTTCCAGTTTGTTAATTACTAGAAATTTCCCCGAACCCATAGCACTTTATGACAGACTTTGATGGAAATGTGCGCAGGCCGAAATTTGATATTTTATGGTATGCAAGATGATGAGTTAATGTCCTGTCCTTGATTAATGGGGATTTTATTTAAATGCCTGTAATTTTTGCGGTACTTCTTTAAACACTTTTGCCAAGTGTTTACTGCCTGTGTTTGGGCCACAAATTTGTGTTCGCTCATTTAGCATTCACAGCGCAAATTGCCGACGGACCAAGCCAGGCGTAAATTGGGAATTGCATTTGGCGGTGGCACACAATCTTCGCGATATGTCCCCTAAACCAACCCAACAGATGACTTAATTAATTACGCAAATGCTTTTTGTGCACCCGAGCGCTTAATGTCGCTTATTGGAAGTTATCGCGATGCGGAGCCCCAGGAAATCGAAGCCAATCGCAGGATGTGCTTTAAAACTCAAGATTGTCGCGCGACCGTGAGCTGTTCGAAAGCAAAAAAAGGAAACGAACGCCTGTCGAAACGGCAGCTTTACCAATCTTTTCGATAACTACACTGGAGAAAGGTAACCAGTAATAGACTGTAATTTAAATTTCTGCAAAATTAATAGTTTATTTACAAATAACATTTTGACATTAAGGTCCCATAATCATGCTTTTATTAGATTGAGTTAGTTTTAACGTTTGCAAATAATTTATTTCTTAAAGCGCATAGTTATTTTCATATTTTCAGAAAACCAAGTGAATGCAATAAATAATTTTTTGGAGTGCTCTCTAAGTGGCGGGGGACCGGGAAAATCCAATTGCTGGTTTGTCCTTCGGAGCAGCAGAAGAGCAACAAGCGGGAAAAGGAACTGAAAGTAATGATGGGGTAAAAGAAGCGTATTCTCGCATAAAGTACGAAAGGATGTTACATCGAGAGAGCTTAGGACACGCCCCTTTTACGAACTTGTCCCTGTTAATGACAGTGCCATATACGATTTTTGTTGCATACTTTCAGCGAACGCCGGAAATGAGTGTTTGCCCAAATATGCAGCAGTCTGCACATATGTGTATATATGTGTACATCGTATATTTATGTAAGAATTGATGACAACAGCCAGAACGAAGAATAAAAAAGAAAGAAAATGGTGCACAAGCCATAATTTATTCACATAGGAGCGTCATAAACATAAATTCGGTTCGCCGGCCTGTCCTTTCATCAATGATAATAATGTCGCATTTGTGTGGTCCAGGCTAAAAAATTGGGCGGCCAGCGAATCGAGTACAATGACCAGCGAAAAGAACACAGACACCGCCGTCATTTTCAGCCTTCCACCCTCTTTATTCCCATTAAAGCTTGAAATTATTCACCCTCCTCAATTCCAAATAAGGGGACATACACTTTTTAAGGTTTTATATGATGCCATATCTTCCGATTTTCATCGCCATTGTATCGCTCGCTGAATTATCGGCAGCCACGCTTTCGCCATCATCTTATTTTTCGCTGCTTCTGGCACACATGGCGTATGCGTTATATTTATTCAACAACCACACACACACTTTATCTTTAAACGAGGAAACTTGAAGATGCTTTTAGCTGTCTTTGACATCGCCAACTTCCTTGTCTAGAAGGATTAGGGAAAGTTGTGGAAAAGAGTTGCCATACAAACCGTTGTGGGGTATAAATAAAATATCAAAGTGAAATTCAAGAAAACAATACTTACATAGAATGTTGTTGAAATTTTATATTTTGCGTCTATTTAAGGAAATAGCTCGTTTATATTTATGACATTTACAAGGAAAATGCTTTTAAATAAAAAGTCTTCAAATAATGTAACAAATGAGAAAGAAAAAAAAATTAAAGAAATTTAGTAAATGGTAGCTTCAATGGAAGCAAACCAAAAAGTACTAAAAATCGAAACTTGTGTCAAAATTAAACTTTTCCACAATGGTCTTGCCACATTTCAGTTTAATTTCAACTCGTTTGGCAGAGCGCAGCAGAAAATGCATGCAATTTTACTAATTCAATATGAACATTCGAGTCGTATGCCAGCAAAGCGGAATTGTCAACTGTTTAGTGTTCTTTGTGAACGCTTTCCCTCCGGTGAAAAGTTTTTCATGGCTTTCCTTGTTTCGCTTCCATTTCGTTTTCTTTCGTTTTCGCCACGATTCCGCATCCGGCGAAGCAATTAAAGATACATTTTCGCAATATGAACGCTAACGAATTTAATAATTTTCATTCAAACGCTCCCAGCAAATGGACCAATGTCAAAGCAGTGGTGTGCAAAAATTTTAGCGATTTCGGGTGTATTCAGATTAAATAACTCGTCGCAATGTAACCGCAATACCTGCGCACTTTCATTAGGCCGCAAATTTATAGGTGCAGTAATCGCATTTCACCACCGTTGCCGCAAAAGTGGCTGCTAAACCGAATAACATTCAAATTGATTACGTTGCGTATACGCAACATTTGGCACTCCGGGTTTTCGCCACTCAAATATTGTTATTTCACAATTTCTGTGTTCTTCTTTTTTTTTTTTTTGGTTTGGTTTGCGAAGAGCGCAATCTTATGTGGGCCGTGCCATGATTATGCGGTTGGCTGGTTTTTGCGTGGGGACGTACGTGTGTCTTTTGTGACTTTAAGCCAGGTTAAGTGCTCTCACCTACACAACGGCCACAAATCCTGAGGGCGAAAATTGAAAACTCCAACCAAACCGAAACCTAAACCAAATGGCGTAACAATCGACCGGGCCAAACAATTACCAATTTCGATATGCACAGTCAGACATGGACGTTTCCGTGCCATAAAAGCGTTCGAGGATAACATAGAAAGATACAATATTGATGGCTCGTTACCAGCAAATTGTATAAAAATCCCATTCCCCCCGTTGTTTGCTTTATTTGCTGAAATACGTTTTATGGCTTGCCCGGCTGTCATAAAGATCCCTTCCACACTGGACACGACCATGGGCCAGAGATCAAGTGGTCATTGGCCATCGGCGATGGGAGGCGTTGGAGGAGGTTACACAATTTTATGTCTAAAAAACTTTAAGGTGCGTATTGTGCAGCAGAAGAATAAATTCAATTGAGGCGAGAATAAGTTAGGTCGTTGGTGAAAGTTTTGGGATATTTTTAGAAGAAGGATAAGTTAAAAAGAAAAAGCTTTAATTTGTGAATTGTCATAAAACTCTTCAGAGAACTTTTCTGTGGTAAAAAAAACAGATACAACATGAGTGCTAGATTTTTTTATATATTTGTTTGCTGTTTTAACAAAGACTTGTGTTTACTTAAATAGTAAACTTGTGTTGTGCTAGTAACAATCTCAAGAACAAGTTTCAATTAACCTAAGACAACTACTTGCAGCCATACAATACCAATTACTTCCGCCTCCATTAAACTTGAACTGTATATTTATGTATCTATGTATACCAGCAACACGTGGCAATTCGAGTGCACTGAATGTAACATAAGATCCCAACAAAAGGACTATTGATTGCAATTTGCATATCCAAATTGTCTACATTTCGAGAAACCGAAATTCCGGTGCCTTGATGGCGGTTCCAGTGTCACGTACTCCTCAGATGTGATCTGCGTGGGACCGGAAAACGCCGGTCTTATCGGAGACCCGTGCTTGCTGACCTTTCCTGTGCGGAATTGCTAAGCAGCCAACAACAGAAGTCTTCATAAAACAGGTACTTATTTAATACTCATGAAGCGCCAAGTTGTGCTTTTGATAAGCAATAGCTAGAGGAATTCTGCTGAAATTATGTTCAGCTGGATACCTTTAATTACAGCACGTTATTGTGGTGGCCACCTACTGCTTTCTGCTACTTTATGGTCGTAATTTTGCTGAAAACTTTGGCGCTGCAGTAAATTTTGCACAAAGTACACTTGCACAAAGGGCGTCGACAGCAAAGATAAAGAGACCGCCAAAGTTAGATCCTGGACACTGAAAAAAAATGTATATATCTAAATGTATGTTTCCTTGCGCAAAATTGTATCCTAATTATTTTTTAAGCCACTGAAGGAAGTCATTTCTTTTCCAATTTTTTTTCAAAAGCTTTTTACAAACATTGTAACATATTCTTTTTAGTAAACATGCCTTCTCATAAAAAAACCTTTTGTTTGTTAGAAATTTATCAGCTTGCAAACTTTTTTAATATCAAACATGACACGAGTTTTAGAATGTTGTCTTTTTTTCCATTTTCAAGAGTTTGATCCTACTTGATCTTTGTGAGTGTGTTTTGAAGGGATTTTCTTCTAGTGTAAGCCAAACACAAACAGAAGGCTACCGCAAAATGTTACGCCCACAAGCACGCACACAGAGACAAGGAAGCGAACACAAACAAACAGAGACACTCACACAGGTGGCCAAAGAATTTACTGTCTCAAATGGCAAGTCGCGTGTTGTAATTTTCATGTGTCGGCAAAACGGAAACGGAAAAGCAAAGCAAACATCAGGCCGACGTTCTAAACACACTCCACACACACAGACACACACTCACCCTCCCTCCCGCACACCAACACATTTTCACACAGACAGACAAACAAACACAAACACTGGCAGACTGGTGGAAAAAAAGGAAAACCGCAGCGAACGATAATGGAAAGCATTAAAGCAGATTACTTGCGAAGCCAAAATGCCAAGAGACACAGCCGCTGGCTAAATTAGTGAAATTCAAGGACGAGACTCCTTTCTGTATGCGTGAAAAGGCTTCGGATTGATGAAGACGAAGGTCATTCGACGCTGGCTGCAATCAGTGCCTCCTCTTCCCCAGAATAGTGCTCGCCATTATGTTGGTCCGACATTAGCCTAGGCCAATTTTAATTATTTCATTCATTGCGGGGCAAGGATTCAAGGCAGTGCTGGCTTATTAGCCATTTTGGGGCTAAGTAAATGCCTATTTTATTTAGCATAAACATAGTCCTTAAAAAATTAGCTAAAATTATAGCTAGCACATTTAATTTAAACCATTAAATTGTCTCAGTTTAATTTTTTTCTCGCCATTTAGTTCTTATAATTTTTATTAAACAAATAAAGATTACCACCATTAGTTTTCGTGGTTTTATCAAATTGCGGCGCACAAACTTAGGCAACACTTTCGGGAATGGTTATAACCCGCATAACCACACGCCACACACACACACACACACACACACACACACACACACACACACACACACTCTCACACTCACACTTAGCCATTCGAGTTAAAATTAAGAAGAAGAAAAAGAACTTGTCGCTGGGCAATTTGTTTAATGAAATCATCAAATTAAATAAAATGAGCGGCCCAAAAAGTGTAAGTGTAAGCAATTTGCTGCCGGCTTTCTTGTTGTTGTTTTTTTTGGCTTTTTGTGTCATGAAATATAAAACCACAGTATGACATGGCCCCAAACCTCGAAAATCCCCATTCCACCGCCCAACACGTGGCCACCCACTCACGAACACCATCACACTGACTGGCACTGGAAAAAAAACATTGTCTTACATTGACTTTATTTAACAGAGACTATATTCTCTATTGCTTTTAAAATTTCCGTTTCTTTTCCATAATATGTTGTCATAGCTTCTGATGTTGTCATAGTTATTTTAATGTTTGCTTTGTCATCAAATTGTTTGTCAGATATTTTTCCTGTGCAGTGGGAAAATACCAGAAGTCAGAGTTGGCCAGAATCCCCAGCGCGTGTTGGTCGAATGCTCGCACGTCGCCGAAGCTGTCGTTTTGGCCATGTTTCCAGCCTAATAGACCATCGCCCCTCGACTAGATTCGGGCCAAAATACCCCCTCGGGCGTTTCAATTACATTATTAATCACATCACTCGCAGGTCTTATTTTAAGCAGTTTGCCGCCTCAGCTGCCGGGCAATAAATTCGCTGGCCGGCAAAAGAAAACTTTTTCAATTAACACAAAATTATGCAAATTGAGTGGCTGCCAAAGTCGCAGCCATTGGAGTTGCTTAGATAGCGATAAGACAAATGGCAAGTGGCGTTGGCATAGATTTTGGGTATTAGCTTCTCAAGGCCAGGATGTTTATGCACGCGAAAATTTAAAGAATTATGACCTACCACAATGGACCAAGTTTGCGTGCTGCGGACTTTTGTAATTGATAATTGAAAGTTATGGCATTGGCTTAACTGAATAAAAATTGCTTGGGACTGAGCAAATAATGTAGGTGGCTGATAAATGATACGAAAGTTGGGTATTCTTTTGTTCTAGAGATATTTTTCATGCATTTTGTGTAGGTTTTTGTCTGCTTTAAATATCCATGCCTCTAATGACTGTTTGTGTAGTTGGTTCTCATTAAGGCAAGGGAGCAATAAATTCGCGAATATGCAAGACAAGCCCAGAATACACCTAATACACATGATGCGAGTAAAATACACTGAGAATAAAAAGAGATTATTTTGAATTTCAGCTTTATTCAATTTGAAAAGAATTTAATTAAAATAATATTTCTGAATTATATTGCAATTGATAAGCTTCTAGGGTTTGGACTTTAGGTTTTAAGGTTATAGATAAGGTTGTAGGTTTATTGCATAAATTGCAAAAATTATTAATAATTATTAAATATACCTTATCATCTAGATGTCTTAATAAACTTCTTTAAGTGCAGTGACAATCGCTCAGTATTCCAGATGCATTTGCCAGCGATGAGAGCCGCCAACTGGGGACATTCATCACAGCCTCGGAGCTTCGCGTTTGCATTGTCTCGCCGGAGGACAAGGATGAGGCTGCGGCTTTCATCCACAGGAACAAGGACACAAAGGAGGCCGCAGGATGTGTGGCGGGTGTGGAGCTGTCTCGTTACGCTTACTTAGCTCCT